ATGTTCCATTATCATGTTATGATCGTGAAATCCACTTCATTTCAAAATATAAATTTAGAGTCTTTTGTCTTTGAAGAAAAATCCATAAGATGATGGATTTTACCTTTTCTTTCAAAAAGTCCTTCACAATTGGAGAGCATTTAAGGAAGTTTCTTCCATTCAAGCAAGATAAAATATGTAGCCCCTAAAGCTGTCATTTAGTTTGGCTTTCACTACTCATGATGACTCTCCTTGGAAAGAAAGTCAAAGAAACTATAAATAATGAAGAAAAAAAGAATAAAAGAGAGGAATAACAATTGTTAGAAAAGAAAAATCCTAACCTTGCATTGATGCCATTTGTAACATGCCAAATTCTTAATCATCGAGACATTGTCCACTTTAGCTTGATAGTCTCACGATTTAATCCCACTAGTATAACTACCTAAGAGGTCACTCATTCTAGGATTGCTCTAATACGATCATGTTCACCTTTTGAATTTCTAATAAAATTCTAACAATTACACCAAAAGGTACCATGACGTTTAAACATATAGCTTCATTTTACTTGGGCAATTTCACAATCTAAGTAACTAATGTCCTCATAAGTATCCTTAAAATAGAACCATGCACTAAAATAGCATTGTAGATGTAGCTCCCATCATATAACACTTCATTTTGTATGCCTCTTAGTGCTCATCTTCCAGCCAATATATTGCTCAAATGCCAAGTAGAAATAAAGTGGCTAGGAAATGTTGGATTGTTCATTTTCTTAATGAGTATTTAGATCCAAATCTACATCAAGGGAAAATAAATAAATAATTACAATAACAAACATAAAAATAAAAAAATCACCCATAACTATACTCTTCCAGCAGGTCAGCCTCCCAGCAGCTACCCACCTACTGTTTGATCCATTTAAGTGTTGCCATTTGAAGCCAAGGGAGCAATTTGTAGGTTCTTTCTTTCCTTATTGTATAAAGATATTTTCTTCTAAGAAATAGATAGTCGCCTCTAATTTTCCTAATCCAGCACTCCCGCTGGCCCTTCTTGATCCAATGGCTCTTCAATAGTTTGCATTCCAAACATGGGCAAATTATTAGGTCCGGTCACCTGACTTAAAAATAAGTCCGGACATTCAATTAAAACTTGCCACGTCGACTGCGCTTTTTGACTTCGCTTTACCTGTATTTTACCTGCACTTTTGACGCGCTTAACTTAAAATAATATTTTATTAGTTTCCGGACCTATTTTTATGTCCGGTGATCGGACCTAATAATTTTCCCCAAACAAGTGATAGATTACAGGAATGGTGGGTCAGGCTTTCTGCTCAAACACTTCGAAAATAATTATGAGATTGATTGACTTATACATTTCATGCTTTTAATGGAAATAATTTTTTTTTATGATTTGCATGGAAAATTCTGAACTTCTCAATATAGCAAATTTATGGTCATGCTTTTATTTTATGAAACAACAACAACATGAAGCATTTATCCCACTATGTAGGGTCGGCTACATGAATCCTTTTTCTTCATTGTGTCATGTTAAGAGTCAAATTCTTATTTAAATCTAATAAAGAAAAATCATTTCTAATATTTTCTAACCAAGACTTTTTAGGTCTACCTCTACCTTTCTTGACATAAGTCAAATCTAATACATCTACTTTCTTAACCGGGTCATCTGAAGGCCACCATTTTATGTGACCAAACCATCTAAGGCGACTCTCTCTAATCTTATCTTTCACTGGAGCCACTGCAACATTTTCACGTATATGCTCATTTTGTATCATGTCTCTAAGAGTAAAGCCACTCATCCATAAGCATCCTCATCTCTGCAACACTTAACTTAATATTATGTTTTTTCTTTTAATGGCCAACATTCTACACCATAAAGCATTGCAAATCTCACCACTATCTTATAGAATTTTCCTTTAAATTTGAGGGGGAGTTTTCTATCACACAACAAGCCCGATGCATTCCTCTACTTCAACCATCCAACTTGAATTCTACGAATAATATCACCATCTATTTCATCATCACTTTGAACAATAGACCCAAGATATCTAAAATGTGTACTCTTATTAATGAGTTGATCATCCAAAGTCACAATCCCTCCACTAAATTTATTATTACTAAAATTACACTCTATATATTCGATTTTAGATCTACTCAAACCAAAGCCTTTAGACTCTAAGGTTGACCTCCATAATTCAAGTTTAGCTTCAACTCTCTCTAGTCTTACCAACAAGAAGAATATCATCAGCAAAAAGAATACACCAGGGTACAACCCCTTGTAAAAGACTAGTGAGAGCATCCATGACTAAAGCAAAAAGATCTGGGCTTAAGGCTGATCCTTGATGTAATCCAACTGAAATAGGAAAATACTATTCAAACCACCTTATATTTGAACACAAGTAACAACTCTTACATACATATCCTTAATGACTTGAATATAAGCATTATTAACCCCTGTCTTTTCTAGAACTCTCCATAGCACTTCTCTTGGAACTTTATCATAAGCTTTCTCTAAATCCATAAATATCATATGTAGATCCTCCTTATTTTTTCTATACTTCTCCATCAAACCTCTAAATAAATGTATAGCTTCCATAGAAGACCTACCCGACATGAATCCAAATTGATTTTGAGAAACATTAGTATCACGCCGCAACATATGCTCAAAAACTCTCTCATAGTTTTAAAGTATGACACATTAACTTAATTCTTCTATAATTCACAAAATCTTATGTCACCTTTATTCTTAAAAATATGAATCAACATACTCATTCTCCATCATCTGGCATTTTTTAGTCTTTAAACTAATATTAAAAAGTTTAGTAAGCCAAAAAATTCCTTCATTTCCAAAATATTTCCACACCTCTAATGGAATATCATCAAGTCCAACAGCTTTTCCACACTTCATTTGCTTTAAAACCTCTCCAACGTCGATTTTATTAATATGTCGATAAAAACAAAATTCTTTATTTTTTTTTACGATGCTAAGGTCACTAAAGTCGATCACATTCTCACAATCTTTATTAAAAGTTTAGCAAAATATTTCATCCACCTTTGTTGAATATCATCTTTTAATAAAAGCATTGTTTTTATCTTCATTCCATAATACACTTCACTTGAACTAAATCATTACTACTCATATCTCTTTGTTTGACTAACTTATACATATATCTTTTTCCCTCCTATTTTATTATATAAATCATTAAAAGCTAAAATATTTGCATTGCATACTGCTTTCATAGGCTCTTTACGCTCTTTTATTTTATTTGATGCAGAAAAAAATCATGCTTTGCAAAGTAGATTTTTGTTGAAAACATTAGAAATACATCATATCAAGTATAAACGGGAAATATCTCCGGAGCACCTCATACATTAATAGAAACCTATTGAGAATATATCATGCACTATCTCCACTATCATAGAGAAACGATAACAATCCATGCGATAAAAGCTGAACACCATATTTCTCAAATGGAACTATAAATATTGAAAATTAAAAGAGAAAATAACCAAAATTGTACCTTAAGTCTTTAGGTAGGACCAAAATGGTCCCTAACTATGTTAAGGGATCATTTTGGTCCCTCAACTCTTAAAAAAACCAAAATAGTCCCAATGCAACTTTGTTTAACGGTAAAAAACAAAAAAATAACGGGTATATTGATCATGGGAGGGTGTATACGGAATATTGTAAATTCATCGTCGAAGCAGCAGAAAATTTTAAGAGCCGAAATTAAAATTGGGTGAACTTTACCTAGTGTGAAACTCCTCGCAACGTCCAAACCACTTGCAGCGACCAAACCCTAGACCGAATCGAAAGAGGCTAGCGTAGAATCCCGGCATCCAAACTGCCGATAAAGTCAAACCCTAGCAGCCAATCGGTCTTCGCCTCCTTTGGCAACGTCGAACTCCAATGGAACCCTAGCGTCAAACAACAACAACCTCAGACCCTAACAGTCGGCTGTTCTTCACTTCTTTAACTAGTTTTTTGTTGTTCGATTTCGCTCCTTCGACAATGTTCCCTTCATGTCATATTGGAAGTCACAACATTTTAATCAGAGGGAACCACAGGTGCTCACTCACTGTGAAGGTAACTATCTTTCTCCCTTTTGTGTGCTTTTTCTGCCAAATTCTGTAATCGTCATAAATCATGTTAAATCTTGCATTCAAACAGACCCCAACAATCGATCTCTAGTAAAGTTGAACCAACAGCAGCAAGGAGACCCGTCCATGGAGTCAACATCCTTCAGCGGGGAAAATATACCAAATACTCATTAAATGCAAAGCTTTATAGACATTGTCTGCAAACATAATTATGAAATTATTGTGATAAAATAAAAAGCTTTGTGAGTATTATAGATTTTTTTGATGAAAAACTATTATATAGTTCTTAATATAACCCTTTCTATTTAGAAATATAGCATCTAATAGAATAAAATTGAATTATAGAAATATTCACTATTATCTTGCAATCTATAGATCTTTTCTAATAAATATTAGTGATAAAAATATTCAATAATTAATTGAGCAAATTTATTTCATCATCTCATAAGTTCTTATTAGCTTCCAAAGCACTGCTATTTTGTTACATAAATTTTCAAATATTATTTCACACTTGTTTCACATCCCACTCATAAAAGGCCAATTAATTCCAAAGGTCAAATCCAAAAATACCCCTAATTTTAACACAATTAATTTTAACATCCAATAGTTTGGATGGAGGGACAATTTTGATTTTTTTTAAGAGTTGAGGGACCTAAATGATCCCTTAATATAGTTGTGGACTATTTTGGTCCTATCTAACGAGTTAATGGACCATTTTGGTCCTTTTCTCAAAATTAAAATAAAGATTAAAGTTGAAAAAAAAATGATTAAGCATCAATTCAGGGTAACCAATCATGCTTCCCTGCTTTCCTTTTGCACTTGAACTAAGAAGTAATTCAAAGTCTTCTTCCAAAGATATGGAATGAAAATTGATTAAATGAAAAAATTTTGAATCTTGAGACTAACCTTTTAGTACATTCAAACATTCCCTTTAACTCTGATTCCTTTTCAACAAATGAGTTACCATTCATGGAAATGGGCCTTATGAAATAACCAATATCTGGCCACAGTTTTACTACATATCTTCTCCCATTGCAAAACACAGCTACTTTGAGAGGTAATAGATGATGTTGAAATTGAACTTGAAGAGTTCTTTTGATTGTCTGACCAGGTTCCAGCCTTGTAATCTCTTCAATAGGAATTATAGTTGACCCCTCATCAGTGGTTGATAAGCTGCCAATTAACATGAACAAGTTTAATACAACGTATTAAAAAAATAGAAATACCCAAAAACATGCAATGTAAGGAGGCTCTGGAAAGCATCAAATAAATAAAAATTCAAAAATATTAGGAAGAAATACCTTTCAGGTTTCTCTAGCACTTGCATGGAAGATGCTGCACTTTTATTTGGTTCTTCATCTTCCACAGTTATGGCAGTCAACAGTTCATTTGAACAGTTTGAAAGCAATAGTTCAATGCATACTAGAAAAGGGGAATGTTTTGAAGCTTCTGCTAAGAAAGAATATTCCACTTTCAAACCATTCCCATTTGCCGGATCTAGGAGCGTATGAAGTTTAGGAGAGACAGTGAAACTAAGATCATTGACAGAAATTCTTATAGAAGACGATTCACTGGGTTTTGTTGCAGATGGTAAACCAGAATTCTCGTCAAGCCATGATTCAAGAGCTGTCCTTGACATCAAATCAGCGAGATCAGAAGAGATGGATGTGGTCAAATTTTCTGCTACACTTTGATCATAAACAAAACTGGACTCTGAAGGATGACAATGCGAATTTTCCTTTCTATCTTCATCAATATTAGTTATTGATGACGAAGAAGGGTTGTTTGAAACATGGGAATCACTTGCCAACTCATTTCCATCACTCTCTACAGAGCTAGTAACAGATGGGTCTGAATCATTATAGGAGCCACTGTCATCGATGGAAGACCCAGAATCGAATGAACCACTGGTAGCATCTTCATCAGCTATTCCATTTGGCAAATTGTCATGCAGACTGCAAGGCTTAGGAAGAGGGTCATATCCAGGAGCTGCATGAAGCACCACATGTGAAAGTGATCCAGGAAGATAAAATCGAAAATCATGATCAGGCAATCGAGAGGGATGCTTAATTCCCCTAAAAATGTTTTCCAAAATTTCACCAGCTGTGCCCCCATTTTGCATCTTGCGTGATATGTCTTCCGCATTACATGGAGATAAAAGTTTCTCCGCCATGCGAGCACGGTCACGGATGTCATAATCTATATCATATTTTGCCAATTGCAAAATATAATTAAGGATCTTCTCAAACATTAACATATCCTCATTTCGGGCACTTAATACGACCTAGCGTTAAGGAAAAGATCAAGCAATAATTGGTTTTCCCAAAGTATAAACATTGGAAGTAAAAATCCAAACAAAATACGCTTACATTTTTCATGATTCCACACAAATTAAGCTCATATTATTAATGTATTGGAAAAACAATATTAAATAATTAAAAAAATCACATCAATCTTCCTAATAAAATTTAATCCAGAAACATGTCAAAACATAAAGAGTTTGTTAGGTAGCATGCTGCAACTACAAACTCAAGCAACGTCTAATCATCAAATAGCATATAAAAGCCTGACTAAATCCAATAATGAATGAAAATAAAAACATGCAATAGAAAAATAGAAATAAAAAGGGATTGATTACATGCAGGCCATCAGATTAATAGATGTCCTGAATATTGGCACAAGTTTTTAAAAAAACTACAATTTAGATTCTTAAGGCTTTTTGAAACTTCATTTAGTCCCTTCATATTATTTGCTAACCTACAACTTCTGTCATAAGCAATAAGACATACTTTGATGAATACTTCAAAATTACATTCACTTTGCAGAACCGTGAAAGCATCTTTATAACTCACTCAATCATCTTTGTTGATTTTGACTTACTCCGTAAATATGCCATCAACTTTGCTACAGTACTTGATTGCAATTCACACATGATATCATACTTCATATTAGTTTCAGTATATAATTGCTCCTCTACCTCATTAGCTATCAATTTGAAGGCAGCCACTTGCAGATAAAACTGCTTTAATCAAATGAATCAATCAAGTATTGTATCTTGAAAGTCATGCCCTCTTTCAAAACCGAGGCATGAATCCACCATGGACACCCTGTGGAACATCCTTGGATGTACCTCTTTAAATCATTCTTTATTCTTCAAAGTAATCCCATCCTTCAAGTTGCATCTCATAAGGATTTCCTATATGTGGTTAAGGTTTTCAAACAACTGGCCTACCATACAAAAAAGTTGTCATCCTAAATATCCTTTTTAGGAGAACCCAATTAGAGCTCCCTCCCTCCCTCTCCACTTCTTCACATTCAACAAAGAATTCAATGTCATATTTTTCATGTGAATTATCAACGCCAAACATCTTCAAAACATCAATATCATTAATTACTGTGTTGTACAATTCCAGTAGATGTAGCATACAAACAGCTTAGACAGAGGAAAAAGAATTGCTATTCAGTTTTTTTTGCAGCCATCAATACGACATCCTCAAAATTCAATAGTGAGTACCTAGCAGCCTCTAAAGTTTCTACTTATTCAAGAAAACCTCTGTAGTACATGAGAAATGAAAAAGTCATCTCGCCTTGCTATGACCCTAAAAAATTACACAAGAAACTTTGCAGGGAAACCAAATCTAAACTGAAACCATAAGAAATCCATACAAAAAAAGAACAAAAATCTTAAATAACCACAAAAATAAAAATCATATATTAATCCTTAATATGAAACTATTATGCTACGGTGCAAATAAAAATGGCATGGAATGCTTGCAGCATCCAAAAACCAATAAAAATACATGGAAATTGAGGATGACACAGCGAGGAAGAACCCAGCAAAAAAAATATTGAAAAAGCAAAAAACTAAAATCATATAAGCCTTAGATGGTAGGAAACTAGAAATCCCTGATCATCATCACCATTAGCCTAATCTCAACTATTTATAATCAACTTTATGAATCATCATTCTTTATTTGTTCCTATTAAGGTGCAACAATAAATACTTCTGTTCTCCCAAAGAAAAAGCTGGCCATGCTTATTCACTAAGTAGCTGGATTTCATACGCTATCTTCTTGGGATGCTTTTTGTGTCTCCAATTAAAGGCAAATGTCAAGAGAGGAAGAAGTTCCATGGACCCGAGGCAAGAGGGTGACAGATGAACTTGAGTCCAAAAGGTCACAAGAACGTCCCCTAAATGAGCTTATGCTTGAGAGTTCTTGTTAAATTCCATATTTGCTCCAAAATGGCTAGAAAAAGTCCTCCATATTGCTTGAGTTGCGAGACAAGAAAACAAAATTCTATCATGAGAATTGCGGGAGTACGCATACATTGATTTTTAAAAAATTAAAAAATGGAGGAAAAATCAAATAAAAACAAGTTTAATAAATAGTAAAAATATATAATTAATATATATATAATATTTGGGCACCTTAGCTATACACTTTGAAAAGTGTATGCAAATATTAAAATAAGGGGGAAATCACCCTCCCCATTCACACACATTCATTTTTTCTCTCTTTAAAAGGTCTTCCCTCTCCCAATCATTCTTCTTCCCTTCCTCTAGCTCGAGGCCTCAACTCTCCCTCAACTTGTCTTATTTAATTTCTTGATTCATACTTAACAATAGCCATATTATGAGATTAGCTTGAAGAAGACATGTTTTAGTTGATCCAAAAGATCATTGCTGCATGGCAAAGGATAATGACTTCTCACTATTTATGTTATTAGGGGTAAAGTATAATACCCAAAATGCTCAAAACAAATGTAAGCATAAACTTCGTTTAAATGTTAAATTATTTTCATTAAATTCTACGTTTAAGTTTGAGCATTTTGATATATATAGAAGTACACCATTTTTTATATTTTCTAACCAAGTCTTTTTTAACCAAGTCTTTTTAGGTTTACCTCTACCTTTCTTAACATAAATCAAATTTCACACCTCTACTTTCCTAACCGGGTCATCGGGAGGCCACCGTTTTATGTGACCAAACCATCTAAGGTGTCTCTCTCTAATCTTATCTTCCACTGGAACTACTCCAACCTTTTCACGTATATGATCATTTTGTATCCTATCTCTAAGGGAAAAGCCACTCATCCACATGAACATCCTCATCTCTGCAACACTTAACTTAGTATTATGCTTCTCTTTTAATGGCCAACATTCGACACAATAAAGCATTACAGGTCTCACAACCATCTTATAGAATTTTCCCTTAAGTTTGAGGGGGACTTTTCTATCACACAACAAGTCCGATGCATTCTTCCACTTCAACCATCCAACATAAATTCTACTGATAATATCCCCATCTATTTCACCATCACTCTGAACAATAGACCCAATATATCTAAAATTATTACACTTATGAATGACTTGATCACTCAAAGTCACAAACCCCCCGCTAGATCTATTACTACTAAAATTATACTCCATGTATTCGACTTTAAATCTACTCAAACAAAAACGTTTAAACTCTAAGGTTGACCTCCATATTTCGAGTTTACCTTCAACTCCTTCTCTAGTCATATCAACAAAAAGAATATCATCAGCAAAAAGCATAAATCAGGGAACAACCTTTTGCAAATGTCTAGTGAAAACATCCATGACTAAAGCAAAAAGATAAGGCCTTAAGGCTGATCCTTGATGTAATCCAAATGAAATGGGAAAATACTTGGTCAAACAACCTTGTGTTAGAATGCAAGTAATAGCTCCTGCATACATATCCCTAATGATTTCAATATAAGCATTATTAACCCTTTTCTTCTCTAGAACACTCGATAACACTTCTCTTGGAACTTTATCATATGTTTTTCTCTAAATCAATAAATATCATATGTAAATCCTCCTTATTCTCTCTAAACTTCTTCATCAACCCTCTCAATAAATGAATAGCTTCCATAGTAGACCTACCCGGCATGAATCCAAATTGATTTTGAGAAACATTAGTCTCACATCGTAATTTATGCTCCATAACTCTCTCCCAAAGTTTCAAAAGTACGACAAATCAACTTAATTCCTCTATAATTCGCACAATCTTGTGCATCATCTTTATTTTTAAAAATATGAATCAACACACTCATTCTCCACTCATCTGACATCTTTTTTAGTAAGCCAAGAAATTCCTTCGTATCCTAAGCATTTCCACACCTCTATTGGAATATCATCATGTCCATTAGTTTTTCCAAACTTCATTTTCTTTAAAGCCTCTCTAACTTTAGTTTTACTAATATGCCAATAAAAATAAAAATCTCTATTTTCATTTAGAGTGCTAAGGTCACTAAAGTCATTCGTATTCTCACAATCTTCATTGAAAAGCTTAGCAAAATATCTCATCCACCTTTGTTGAATATCCTGTTCTAAAAAAATAATTTTTAATCTTCATCCTTAATGCATTTCACTTTAACTAAATCATTACTACTCCTATCTTTGTATGCTAACTTATACATATATCTTTCGCACTCTTTAAAATCTAATCTATTATATAAATCATTAAAAGCTAAAATCTTTGCATCGCAGGTTACTTTCTTAGACATCTTATAAGCCTATGTACATAATTTCTAATTTTCAAAATTTTTACATCTAAACTAATTATTATAACAAAACTTCTTATTATTTATCTTTTCTTGCACATTTTAATTCTACCACCAACTATTTTTATAATCAGAAGCTTTTCATTTTAAAACTTTAAGCACATCCTTTGCAATAATCTTAATATTACTAACTACTTCTTCCCACATAATATTTGTTTTCTCGTGCACAGATAAAATCTTAAGATCTCTTACTCTCAAAAATATTTTTTAGTATTATTTAAACGCCCCCATCTAATTTTAAACAACATTTTACTATATTTTTCATATTCTGCCCCTTCATCTTAAAGTCCAAAACTAATAAGCAATGTTTGGTACATAAATTTTCACTCAGAATAACTTTACAATATAAAAGATTTATTTTTCTTATAAGAGAATAATTAATCTGCGTTTTATTATATCCATTCTTATAAGTGATAAGATGCTCATCTCTTTTCTTAAATAAGATATTAGCAATCACAAAATCATAAGCCAGAGCAAAATCTAATATAGTCTTATCATCTTCATTAGTCGCTCCAAACCCATAGCCACCATAAATACTTTTAAAATCATCTACTTCTCTACCAACATGTCCATTTAAATCTCCTCCAATAAAAATTCTTTCTTCAAGAGATATCTTTTGCATTAATTCTTCTAAGTCATTTCAGAATCTTAATTTTAAACACAAATTAAAACCTACTTGAGGAGCATAAATACTTATAATAATAATTTTAGCATCAACAATAATCTTCAAAACTATAATTATGTCTTCAATTTTATCAATTTTTATAACATTATCCTTAAAACTATTATTTATAATCACACCTACACTATTTCTAGTATGACTTCTACCAGAATACCAGTTTAAATCCTAAACTATCAATCTCCTTAGTCATCTCTCCAACCTATTTAATTTCCTGAATGCATAAAATATTTCTCTTCCTATGAATTATTATATCAATTAATTATATTAATTTGCCTGTAAGATAACTTACATTCAAAGATCCTATCTGAATTCTAGTTTCATGGACTAGTGATGTAGGCAGAGCCAGCCTTCTGGTGTTTCCCATGCCGATTTTAATTCCCAAAAGCTGCCTTTTCGGTTTCCCCCTTCCCTATGCGGTTGCTCCTTCAGTTTATGTATGATGCTTCAAATTCCCTGCTTATTAAATGTCGTAAGTTGCTTCGGATCCCCCCCATTGGCTGCTGTGTTGCTTCGATTTCTTCCCCAGGTGGCTACCCCTTCGGTCCCTACTTGCTGCGGTTTTCAAGGGTATTCTATTGGTTGATTTTGAGGTGCATTAAATATGTATTAATTGTCTTTTTTACCTTTTCTTCCCCTATATAAGAGCTGTTTTGTGGCTGTTTTAGGAGAGTTATGGATATGATAATTTGTGGAATGTAAAACCAACGGGTTTTCTAGCTTGCGAGCAAGCCTCTTTTCCCCTTCCCCTATGATACTTTGTCTCAGTCTTCGAATCCCCTCTTCTCTATCCACGATTCCCACCCCATTTGTATTCTTCTTCTCTAAAATATATATAAGTTTTATGATTCATGTTAGTCATTGTGTCTCTTAATTTGCAATCTTAGCATTTATATTTATCTATGTTGTAAAAAGGAAGATTTGTGTTTTTGCAATATTTTTTTTGTTGCATCAACTAGCTTCTTTGCCCTCATTCGTCTAAGATGGGGGAACCCTTGCCTATTTAACACTGCACCCGGGCGCTGATGCAACGATCCTTGCATAATTCTCACTGTATCCAGACCATACAGCGCATGCTTCTAAGGAAGCCCTAACATTAACACAATGTATTAAAAGATTCATGTCATGATTATTCGATAAGTTTTATATTGGTTGTCGAATACCTAATACAACCCTCCATTTCTCATCCAGGACTTGGGACCTGACAATGGCAGTGTTACTAGACAAAAAAGGATTGAACTTTTTGGTGTATATACACTTTTTGAGTGTACCGAGAAATCTGAGCAGGAACTGTATAGAGACTTTTGGGTATGTAAATGAATTTTAAAAAGTTTAGTAAAGCTATGTATTTTATGTGAGGTTGCATTTTGTTTGAGGTATTTGACATATGCTTCCTATTGTTAAGTATAAAAATTTGATGTGTTGGGATTGTCTGAATAAGCTACTTCCTACTCACCTAATTCTAATAGAAGTAGTTTAGAATATGTGTTAATAAGAAATAGGCCAGTTCATATTCTCCCTCTTTGTTACACTCTATATTGACAATGACAACGATTAAAAAAATATATATTTTTTTTAATGTACCACAAAGTGCAAAAGATGCACAAGAAATTGATAAATAGAATCATTGAAAAAGAAATTGGAAGCAACAAGGAATGAATTATAGACCAAAGGTAATTTGTTAAGAACTTATTTAAAAAGATCAAAACTCAACATTTCAAAGAGAAGAATTTATAAGTCTAACCTCAAGTGATTAGGATCAAACTTATTGCTTCCTTGAATATTCACAATGATACAGAGATAGTATACTATTTTAGCATTGAATGAAAATCCCCACTCCAACACACAAATAAGTTGAGAATAGCCCATAAAAAAAGAAGTTTATCATAAGATTTTTTTACTCAAAAAATCAGGAAAGAGGAAAAAATACAAGGCTTGTCCAATTGAAATAATTCCAATAGCACGAGTCATATGTTACACAAAATTATCTTCAATGTAACTAGATAAGTCATTAAAAAAATATATTAGACATAAACTATGGAAGATGTTGTCTAAGGTTTCTAAATAGGGAGTGATGAGATGTTAAAGTTGTCAACATCTGATATCATGAAGTTGCCTCAATTGCATTTTTTTTAGAAGGGAAGGTCGGGTGATGAAGAATATGGATGTCAATAGTTGACCAAACTTATATGTTAGTCATTGACAGACATCGGATGATGGATGGCGGACAACAATGGATGTCAGGTAATAGTCAAAATGATCTACTAGGATATTCTCTTTATAGAAGGGGAGATCAACAACCAAGAAGGAAAGTGTCAAATGTCAATGGTTAATGGATGTAAGACATTAGCAAGTGTTAGATATTGGTCAATTGAGAATGTCAAACACCAGGAGAGCCAGGGCATGCTTAATCTTTCTCCTTGAAAGAATGGAGATGCAACCAAGAATGTTGATGTCAAATGTCAATTGACAAATATCAGATGATGGTCAATTGGGTACATCCAATTTTTGGAAATGATCAGTTGGTTTCTTGGTAGTTTTACTCATAGAAAGGCGACCGATGACCAAGAGGTAAGCATCAAACATCAATGGCTGACAAATGTCATATGTCAATCATTAGTATGCATCAGGTGATGGCTGATGCGAATGTCAGATGTCAAGCAATCTAACTCAATCTTTCTTATAAGAGAGAAGATCGGACGATTGATAAGCTTAGCGTCATAAGTTGGTAATCGATCGTTTAGCTCCTGGGTGACTATGCTCTTCAATAGGGGCATTAAAGTTAGGCGACAATGAGTGTCATAATTAATCGATTGTGAGCCTCCTTGGCCGACAACGGGCATCGGCGATTGATGATTAGAGCCATGTAATTCTTCAAGCCCGATAATTCTCTCCATGAAAGACTTCTTTGACTCCACACCCCCCTAATGTTTAGAAATAAAGGGCTATTTATAGATATATAGGGGCATTATGTTCATTTCAACTAGAAATCAAGAAACTTCATTGGATGATCGGAGTTAATCCCCCATAATCATTCAACATCTTTTTAGATTTTTAGTATCTTAATTAAATAAAATTGAGACAACTTAGGCTTGTCAGATTAATCTGGTCAAAACACTCATTTCAACTATACGCATGCAAAATTTAGTGGTTGGTAGGTCCCTTAAAAGGTCTCATGAAGCTTTCAAAATATATTCTGAGTGCTTGATTTAGGTCCATTTGGACCTGAATAAAAGATTCTTGTTATCGTTAGTTTTGTCTAATCACAATGCTCATTTAAACTAAAATTTAATTGAAAATAAAATTTAGATGATCTCAAACTTGGTTCAAGAACATTTTTTGTTTGAATGAATGGATGTTTTGAGATTTAAAATTTTACGTCAAATCCATACTTGATCATGTGAATTTTCTACTGACATATCAAGTCTAATAATAATGATGATGAATATTTATTTCTACCTTTCCATCATAAATCATCCTTAGGAGTACTAGACATTGCAAAGGGATAACCTAAATGAAAGAACTAACAGAAGATCGAATAAACAAAAGGTAGGCTTGAGCATAAACTTGAGCATAAAATAACATGAATTTATCAGCAGTACCTTAATAGCAGTGTTGAGAATCTGATGCTTTGTTTCAAGAATTTCCGACGAGAAGGACCAAGCTAGAAACTTCAGTACATTGGGAATTATATTTGGCATGATCAGTCCAATGGAGCAGTATTCTCCCACTATCCAGATAATTAATGCGCGTGCAGCAGGTTCCTTAATCACATCCAGATTGCGAGCCAATCTTGCAATAACCTTCAAAGTGGAAAAATGTTGTCAATTTAAAGAAAGTTTAACAAGTTAAGCAGACATAAAAATTGCAAACAAATAATAAGACACTTGAGCAACAAAAACACTACTAACTACTAAGCAATGTCCATTACAAACGTTCATGTAGTAGCAAATCAGGAAAATCCCATAGCAAAATCAGTAAGTAGTAAATCAATCGAAATCATAGTATGTACAATCCCTGCTATGCTAATAAATCAAACAGCCAGGAAAGAAAGCAATTATTCAAATAAATAAAATTAATTTCTAATACTAAATATGATGGTATTTTAGAGTTTCAAGGTGTCAAGCAGAAAAAAAATGAAGCAATTAGACCAGAACTAAGTCTAATGCAGTTCATATTTCAGGCATATAATGCAGCCCAATCGTTTTAGGAGTTGTTGAATTCTTCAAAAGGATCAGCAATTAAGCCAGTCAGAAAATAGGCAAATTTAGTATGAGAACATACTAAACAAGAATCATACAAAATTGGCTGAGACCTTGATACAAGAAATATAATGGTATTATCAGGTATGCGCTTGTCATGGCCATGCGGAGTGAATGAGAGAAATGAGGTATGCATATGATTACAATTTCTAAATACATTACTTCCGTTATAATTTTTCATTAATATCTCACAATTTTTTATAGGCATTTTGGAATAAGAGTGAAGGGCAAGGAACTTAGAATAAGTAATAATTTTCTCTTGATTGTAAGTATAAGCTGAACAAGAAGGAAAGGAATACAGAGGAAAGCATCTCATTTCTCTCCAAATTTGAGCAGGAGAGACAAGGAATTTGAACAAGTAAATTTTCATGATACCTAAATTAACCTCATATTCATGAAGCAACAGAATTAAATTACCACCAACCTTAAGAAAACCATATATATCAATAGCATATCCATGTTTATGAGGATCTGTTTGCTTCAATTCAGCTCCACATTATGGTTGATGTGGAACAAAATAGTCCATGCCCACCCTTAATTTGGAACTGAATTGAAATGGCATGCCCATTTTCCATATTTGGTTCTGCAAGACCATCTGTGCAAGGCATGCGTCATAATCCATCAATATAAACAAAAGGTCAAATGCAGATTATTTCAATGTGACGCACAAGAAAAGTAATTGTAGCACAAAGATTGTGCAGTATGTTAATTCTATCCATATGCAGATTATTTCTGTGAGACACAAGAAAGTAAATGCAGCACAAAGAAAAGGCAGGAAAGTGAGACCTTCAGCGATAACTTTTACATAGACATGGAATATAATCCGCAAGGTGAAGGAGAAGATCAATAAACTTCATGACCAGAATCCAATTTTATTTCATTTTTCCATTAATTCTGCGCAATGCATTCGTTATCACAAGAGATATCAAATCCACATATTAACAAGCTATTTCAGCAAATCGATAACTACATCAAAGCACAAGTTGAGCTTGAGAAGAAACACCTTTTCATGCCTAGCTGGACTGTGCTTTATTATTGACTTAATGGACATGATTGCTTGCACCAAAATACAAGCTTCCCCGTCCTTCTGGAATGCATTGCTAGTTGATGATTCTGTAGATAGAAACTGAGTTCAGCCAGGCCCAAAAGAAGAACAAAATGAGGTACTGTATCCATGATAAAGTGGTAAACTAACCTTGTGAAGCAAGTCCTAATAGCCCTTCTAAACAGACATCAACCACAGAAGGTAGCCTTTGAGCACATATACCAATTGCAGCAACTGTGTCAGCAACGAACCTCCGATCTGGATCTTTAATGTAATCCTAGCAGTACAACTAGAAAATAAACATCAGTTTGTCATGCAGCATTATCCCAATAGACTATTTTATAAAGGTTCTTTACTTTTCCCAGTTCAACATGAGCTATCTGTTTAATGAAGCTAATTCCCTAGAAATAAGTGAAAGTAATTGGATTTGTCCTCACAGTCGTGCACAAAAGAAAAAAGTGAAAAATAATTTACCCAAAATAAGATCAAAATTATACAGCATATTTAATAAGAAAACATAAACCTAATCATAGTTATCCTTACCACAACTCTCTGGTCTGACCTTATGAAACCACCACGTATTCCACTCAATGTTGTTGAGATCCAAAAGGGTGTCGACTCTATTCTGCGCAAATTTTATTGCATGACTTCTAGTCATAATATATTTGATCTATCACTTCTGCTGTTCATGCCCTAACTACCGAAGTCTGGAGCAGCTTTATATTTTTAAAGCATAATTCTTAAGAACCAGCTTTCAAAGAACAAAGCAATTCTTTAAACGGAACAAGACTTCATTTTTTTTAATTGTAAAAAAGTTGGCTTGAAAATGAAATTTAATAGCATAACTGAACCATAGAGCTGATTCCAGACTTAGCAGTCATATAATTTAGCCACCTTAAGCACGATTAGCATCAATATTAGAATGACTTGTTCACACCAAGTATGCTAAACGTGGAAGCCTTTACCTTGTCTTTAGTCTATTATGTTGAGGAGCTAGCAATTTCCCGCCCTCAAAGGGGTTGAAGTCCACAGTTTTTCTATCATTGGCCTTTTATAAAGCAAGTTAATATCCAAGCGATTACTATGAAGAAACATGAAAAAAAATATCAAAAGTAACTTCATAGGTGGAATTTCTATGCCAACCTTTTCAAAGTCAGCAGAAAGAAAATAGATTAAAGAATATTTCTAAGAAACAAAGAAAATCCATTTTATGTTTTCTCATGGCTAAACTACAACTATTATTTTGCATTCGTTCTCTGTAAATTCAGCTCAACCAATTGGGTACTTGTTCCTTGCTCACTCATATGCAGCACACAATTAATTTTGGTTTGCAAATTAGGAGTTAATGCAAAAATCTAGATATACAGTATATAATTTTCTTTCCCAAAGAAGTGTCACGAAAAAAATTTCAACATCAATGCCAAAATGATCTCCTGCTTTTGGTTAATTTATCTTTAACCGGGCCTAAACATTAACTCCTATAAAATATATCATGATCAACAAACTTGCCAGTCGTTGGTACCTGGAACTCATCCAAAATGAATTGACTTGAAGCATCCGTCACAATGGCGGAAAGTATTTCAAGCTTAAGAGCTCTAATCTGGTAAATCTCAGAGCTATGTACAAAAAAATCTTCATAATGAGGTGCAAAGAGTGAAGGGAGTACTTTGGCGAACACCTGTATATTACAAAGCACCTAAGCAGTAAAAAACAATTATCAGAACCTTTATCCATGTTGACAGGTATCAAGAAAACCATCAATAAAAAAGTTAAAAAAGGAAAATAAACCAGAAAAGAAAATAATAACAAGCATATATGCAAAGGTTAACGTACTAATGGCTATCTATCATCTAAATAATTATTTTTCAAAAAGCAAATGACAAGGAAGAGCAAAATAAAAGCAAACATTGCTTCTGAAACAAGCTCTTTTTCCAGATTCAGCCAAAAACTGTTAACAAGCATCTGTACAGCTAATGTTTCTAGGTTAGGCTGCAACAGACAGCATTGACACGACCCAGTCAATGCTCAAACCTGAAGCCTTCTCTAGCTTTCCATTACACGAGTGCAGTGAAAGGTTCCATGATTATGATACATCACACAATAAAATTCAGATAGGAAAAAGGATGTGGGATATTTCCTTACAAAGGCTTGAAAGGAAAATAACCATTTAACCGGAAAGGCAACCAAAAAGTCTGCTGGTTAAAATAAATGATTCATTTTACAAATCTGAAACTTGAGCTTCAGTGACTAAATGCCCATCTTCTCTGCAGAACAACTATGATAAGCATGCTAAACAATCTATAAAAAATCAGGAGGGCCCCAGCGAGGACTGTTATAGGAAAGCTGATTGAAATGATTTAGTAGTGCATTAATGCCACGCAAAGAAGCTATTGATTTGTACAGATCGAACAATAAAGAATAATTGAAACTAAATGGATTTTGTATGAAAGTTCACAAGAAATGATTGAGTGATAACCTCAAGATCATACAAAGGCAAAGGTTCTTGAATTGCACAGATTAACTAATAAAGTTGTAAAAAAGGGTTTGAAACAAAAAAGTGGATGTCATCTCAAATGACTAGAGAATATGCTTGAAATAAAATGAGAGTTGCTATTAAGTGTTATCAACTATTATTTCATCAGACCACGACAACTTTCTTTACTTAACAGGATATACAAATAAATTGTCAGTTGTGTTATTACTATTAGGAAGGTTACGTCGTGAGAAAAACAAGTTAAAAGGAAAGACTACCGATGATGATTTGCATGCATGTAAAACGGAGAGTATAACAGTTCAAAACGGAAAGATTTTAAACATAATACTTGTCTTTAATAAACATAAATAAAATATAAATCAAAGTTGATGTAGGCAAGAAAATTTGCCTACAAATACAAAATTTGCAAGCCTTCCAAATTGACCTATTTCAAACCAAATATACTAAAAAAATGACTAATAGACAAAACTACAAATTATAGATGATATGATAACAAAGACACATTAAAAGACAATTAAACACCTAATACATTGATAATAAGATAAGTTGAGAAGAAAGATACAATGGAGTGGTAACCATGGAGAGAAGAAGTAGATAAGAAGTCCGAGACGAAATCAAAGAGAGGAGAAGAGAAAGGGAACTAGCTCGCAAGCTAGAACAACAACCCGCATGTTTCACATTCCAAATATTTTCTCACCAAAACATACTTCTAAAATAGCACAAAACAATCCTATATATAGGAGGAAAGAAGAAGCCCAAAAGCCCACAAAACAGCCCTCATAAATTAGAGAAGAGGAATCTCAAAAGTCACCATAAATTAGGAATTCCAAAAATCACCATAAATTAGGAATCTCAAAAGTCACCATAAATTAGGAATCCCAAAAGTCACCATAAATTAGGAATTTCAAAAGTCACTATAAATTAGGAATTCCAAAAGCCAAATTAGCCTCCCACTCAAACCAATCAGAAAAGAGGAGACAAAAGGCCAACAGGCAGCCATCCTGATGTAGGCAACAACCTTCTTTGGGAATCAGCACACAACAACCTTTTCCATGACAAAAACTTCTCACATATATAGGCAAAAAGGGGAGCCAAACAGCCAACATCAACCTCCAACCAAACCAATCAAGTAAGGGGAAGAAGGGCAAAAGACACCACAAAACTGCTCCAAAAAAACAGCACAGAAAATGGGTTGGAGAAGCCACGGGACACAGCCAGGGAGGGACCCGAAGAGCCAACACAGGAAATGGGACAGGGAAGTCACGGGAAAGCAGCCAGGGAGAAAACTGAAAAGGCAACCAGCCCACAACCATTATTCACAAGGAAGAAACCAAGGAGACACAAGAAGGGGAAGAGGCAAGGATTTAACTCCTCTTAATGAGCTTACAAGAAGAATACCTTTTTCCAATTAATGAGCTAACATTGGCTCAAGCATTTATGAGCTAGTCTTAAGAAGATCCTAAGATTTCAGCTCATAACCAAAGCAGCCAAAGCCCAAACCAAGAGGCAGCAAAGACCCAAACCAAGAGGCAACAAGCAGCCCAAAGCTTGCCTACATCACATCCGAACAGCCAAACGAGCAGGGAATCGAACAGTCAACCCAAGCAACCAAGAACCAGCCAGCTCTTCCCATTTGCTTGCATCAATTCTCCCCTAGTGGAAGAACCTCATCTCCTGATGAGTTCGATTCAGAATTTTCTTTGTTCGATCGCTCCAATTCTTCAATCTTTTTATCTTGTATAGTTCATTTTGAATCGAGTCTGTTGAATCTCCAATGGGAGATTGATTGATGTCTGTTGGAATGCCAACTTCATGAGTCTGGGCAATGGTTTTTGACTTTCAACATTGGCAGGATAGTATTCATCTTGAAATTATGTCGGCTCTTGACTTGAGATTCCCATAAGACGATGGTTTGGACTGCTCATTATTTTTTTTAAAGACTCACAAAAAGACTTGCACAGAACCTAAAGCTCTGATACCATTTTGATGTTGGCAAGAAAATTTGCCTACAAATACAAAATTTGTAAGTCTTCCAAAATATACTTATTTCAAACCAAATATACCGAAAAAAACGACTAATTGATGTGAAACTACTAGGAGTTACGATTAGAAATTAAAAGAGAATTGTTTTAAGTTTTGCTCCTATACGTTTATTTCGATCATGCAAGAGAGAGTTAAGAATTTGAAAATTTTAACTTGTTTAGGCCAAAGATTAGCAATAGAGAATGACCAAGACTATCCTTTCAAAAAACAAAGTAATTTTAAATGCAAAGTACAAGTAACATAACCCAACACATAACAATGAGAGGTTCACCTCGAGGCCTTCTCACTCAACTACTTGTAGGCTTTAGTGGAGAAAGGTGAGCCAAATGATGAAAGATATTACCACTACAAAGATGGCGCCGAAGAACTTTGTTGGTGGAGAGGTCGCCGGTGGATATGGATGTAGTGGGTGGCCGTCGAGACTCCAATCGTAATTTGAAAATCGTCGGTCGATGATGCTTGCAAGGATCGGGACGACTCGCTCCAAATATTCCTCCACGGTGGTGTCGTCTTCAAAGCCCACGTCAAAGCACGGAGATTTTAGGATGTTGATGCTTCTGTCGGCGTTGAATACAAGGCCCCACTCAAGCTCCAGATCCGCCATGCATGCTTGATGTTGGAGAATCTTTCAAGGAGAAGAGATTTAAGTGAGGGTGAGGGAGAATCCTTGTGTCAAAAGAGGGGAAGATGAGGCATGAGAGGCCGGCGGGATTTTCAAGGAGAAAGAGGGAGGGGTTCGGCCAAGGTGAGAGAGAGGGGGATCCAGGTTAGATGAGTGTAGCAAGAGTTTTACTCAAATCTGAAATTAACTTCAGATTTTAGTAAATTGGGAGGGAGTTATTTGAAATTATTTTCAAATTTCAAATGTAATTAAGGGAGGTTGATGAGCAATTAATGGAGCCCATCAAAGAGGGGGGCCGGCGGTTTCAATAGAGGAGGGAGGGAGGTTTCTATTCAAAACCTGAAATTAATTTCAGGATTTTGAATAAAAAGGGGGGAAGTTTAATTTGAAATTTGCTTTCAAATTTAAGGGGAAATTAGTGAGTTAATTGGGGCATTAATTGAGCAATCAAATAGGGGGAAACCCTCATGGGGCCGGCGGCATGGTGAGAGAGGAGGAGGGAGGGATTAAGGGGGAAGAATAGCTCTTTCCAAATGGGAACGAAAATTTAGAGGGAAATTAAAGACTCCTCCAACTAGGTTTCATTCGAATTTTGAATTCGAAAACTTTCCATATTTGACTTCGCCAAATTTGGAAACTTTGAATTCAAGTAATTTCAAAATTCGAACAAGAAGGGGAGAGTGGGAGGAGGCCGACGGTGGACGTGCTTGGGAGTGGGTGGAGGAGGTGGGGTGGTCAGCGGCCAAAGGTGGGCTAGGGCCGGCGGGTTGGGAAGGGGAAGGGGATCGGGATGGTGGAGGTAGACCACAAGTCACGGACTCTTCCAATGACTGGCGGGTATTGCTTTTCTCCCTCACCTTGGGCTCTCGTTCTCCTCTCTAGCTCTCCACAAGAAGAAGTAGAAAAAGATAACAAACTAAATTTTATTCCAAATATTCATTAACCTCATACAACACATGAGATCACTATATATAGGCCTCAACTCATAAAAAAAAAGTACGAAATTGCCCTCTGGGCTACAATAACAAAGCAACTCCCCACAGGGGTACAAATGGAAAAACTGAAAATACTAAATAATACATCATGACATCATAATCAAAAGTAGAGGCGCTGAAACGAGGCCGTCGATCTGCAGTTTCGCCGACGATAAACATGTCGGTAGCGTCTGTCGATGTCCTCATCACTAATAGAATGCCTTAACTACAAAACTATAAATTATAGATGATATGATAACAAAAACATGTTAAAAGACACTTAAACACCTAATACATTGATAATAAGATAAGTTGAGAAGAAAGATACAATGGAGTGGTAACCATGGAGAGAAGAAGTAGATAAGCAGCCCTAGACGAAATCAAAGAGAGGAGAAGAGAAAGGGAACTTGCTCGCAAGCTAGAACACAACCCGCAGGGTTCACATTCCGAATATTTTCTCACCAAAACATACTTCTAAAACAGCCCAAAACAATCCTATATATAGGAGGGAAGAAGAAGCCTAAAAGCCCACAAAACAGACCTCATAAATTGGAGAAGAGGAATCCCAAAAGTCACCATAAATTAGGAATTCCAAAAGTCACCAAAAATTAGGAATTCCAAAAGTCACCATAAATTAGAAATACCAAAAGTCACCATAAATTAGGAATCCCAAAAGTCACCATAAATTAGGAATTCCAAAAGCCAAATTAGCCGTCCACTCAAACCAATCAGAAAAGAGGAGACAAAAGGCCAACGGGCAGCCATCCGAATAGCCAAACGGGCAGGGAACCGAACAGCCAACCCAAGCAACCAAGAACTAGCTAGCTCTTCCCATTTTGCTTGCATCAAAATTGATGTGGACTATCTTGTGCTTATGTAACATCTTACCACTACACTTTCTTTTTAACCCTAGTACTAATATTCTCAGTTTTATTCTACTTTCTGTTATACAGAATGCTAGTCTCTTTTAAACTATTTTGCTTCTTTTCAGTAATGAGATAGAGAGTATTTCAATAGCATACGTAAATACAGAATGCTATAGCAGGAAGACATCAGAAAATATATCAATATACATTACATTTCTCGTATTTCACAACTGTTTTCGTTTTCTTTTTCTTGCCTGCATCTCCCGTTCAGCTACTACAATAAGTGATTTGAAGCATTGACTAGTATTAAAAAAATTGACGCATCTCCCATTCAGTCGGACATATGATCTAGTACCACGATAAGTGATTTGAAGCATTAAAAAAATTCATGCCAATGGTAAATTGAAAAAATTAAAGATATATATATAATGGAGCACTGACTATTAATAAAAAAATTGTGGTGATAAAAGCTTCCAATTTTTCAAATACATCAAGAATTAAAATGGGATCTATATCTTTTTGTATTAGTTAAAAATGCTTACAAAGGATATTTCAAGTGAGTTACCTTGGTGTATGCATTTGCAAATGATATAGTTCATTCGGTGAGATATTTGCTAAAATAAGAGAAATAATAACGAGAAATTGTTAGATGATAAAGGGTTTAGAATTAATAAAATAAAGACTAAGTAAGATATGTAATTGTGATAATATATTTTATCAAATATGAAAGAATGTTATTAGAAGAAAAAATGATATCTACATATGATAGATCCATGTATCTTAGATATATTATACATAATATTGAGGATATAAATAATAGACTAATATACTACTTATAAAGTTAAGTCAGAATTATCAAAATAAAAAATGCTTTAGGATTGTTATGTGATTTGACAATATCATGGATACCTAAAAATATATATTATAAAATTTCAATCACTCAAAAAATTGTATGAACCTGAGTGTTAATAAGTAAAAAGTTCAATAATAGTTAAATTGAGCATCACAAAGTTGAGAATGCTAAGATGCATATGTGAAAAACTATTAAATATAAACTAATGAATCATTATATTAAAAGAATGGTTCTAATGACATCTATCGAAGATAAGTAACTGAAAATAAACTTAGGTAGTTTGAACATGCATAACAAATGGTAGAAAAATACACATTAAAATAGTAAAAAAAAAATTGTATATAATAACTGAGAAGGAGAAGAGGTGCCAACCTAAATAAAAATGGATAGAAATTATTCAAAATAATTTGCAAATAATAGGTTTAATGCTTCAAGAAACACTCAATAAGAACAACTAGAATGATTCATAAAGCAGGCCTAAAATAGCCGGGATAAGACCAATGAAGCTGATGTATTGCTTGCAAATAATGCCTTCAGCAAGCTTACATTTTTTCATATAGTGTATTATTTTTTAGAAAATGACCTAGAACTAACAAAATTAAATTAGTACCCACTCAATGAATAATGGGATAATTTTTACAACTACATATCAAACCATCATTAAAATGCCCTTAACCCTCATCATCCAAACTTGGAACCGAAATGACATTTTTTGGATTAAAATACTTACTAGTTTAGAATTCAAATGTCGCTAACATTAATAATGTCTCAAAATTTCAAAAAAATATTTCAAAGATTATTTGAAATATTCTTCCTTGCCACGAGTACTTTTAATTATAAAGGTCCATTTTATAGCTTGAAATGAGGCCTAAGTATCAAAATGTGGTTAAGCAAGTGAAAGACAACAATAATGAGCTCCAAAGGATAAATCTATTAAAAGTTTGCAAAGAGATATTAAGGTAACAAACAATAGTAATGTGAGAAAATACCACATATTTTGAATCAGGAAATGATCTTAGGAGAAATAGAATTGGCTTTACAATTCTCTGAACTTTCTCGTTTGGGGCCATAATCCAATGAACACCAACAGCAGCTAGCACAACTGCACTATTTTGACTCCACAAGAGAGGCAATGTACATTGCAATAAAATCCTCACATCATCATTTTCAATGGATGCTGGAGCCACATAGTTTAGGTGATATTGATCTTCACCAACATTTCCATTTGTAAAACCATGTTGTAATAAACATTCCTCCCATCCTTCAATGTAATTTTTGGACATCAATGAATTTCCTTTGAAGTCGTGAGGAACATTCTCAATATAACTATTATGATTATCAAATGTATGAAATAGACCAGTAGAACCCCATTTAGAATGGAAACTTTCTGTAGCATTTGAAGTGAACATGATAGACTCTCTAACAAGTCCATGCCTAGCTATTACGTAACGTAAAAGAATCTCAATCAGAGTAATCTGCCCCCACTCTTCAATATCTGGAAGGGATTCACAAAACCTTCTAAAGTGTTTACTAATGAGTGAAAGATTTTTCAAGCAGACTGTTTTGAAAGCAACTGCAGAAGCTCCAACAACTCCAAGTGAATGGTCACTCATGAAGATATTGACCAGCTGCAGGAAATATAGTCCAATGTGAAAAATAAAGTATGGCACAATTTTCATATAAATAAAGGATCAAAGATAAGCCTTATAAAGAGAAAAGGTGAGAGAACCTCTTCAATATCATTATTTTCCTCTGGAAGCAAGTCAAGTAATTTAGAAAGTGCATTGACAGCACATTTTCTGACATAAGAAGATGGATCCCTAGCGCACTTCCTGATGGCAGCTAAAACAAGAGGAGCAACAACATGTAGATGTATACCAGCCATGGAGCGTAGTGCCCATGCTCTAACCAGTGGATTTAGATCGGACAAGTCTTTCTGAAAGCAGTTAATTGACAGCAAAGCTTCATTGGGGCGCCTATTCATCAGAGTAAGGGTAAAAAAAGAAGCATATGAAGTTACCGGCCATTGATAAAGCTCAAATGAATCCAGTAAATATTGAAAACGCAAGAGAAAGAAAACTAGGGGATTAATAGTAGGAGAGGAGACTGAGAAAATAAACAAAACCAAAGTGGGTAAATAACTCAAGGAAAGTCACCAGCTCATTATATAGATGAAATGTGAGTCAGCACTAACCAATCAAGATTAAAAATATAAAAACAGCAGGCTGGGCAACATTAACATCACTAGCCTACTAGTAATGAGAGAAGTAAATTTGAAAAAGGATGGTCTATCTACTGATAAATCTCCCCAAAGTTTCAATTGTTAGAAATCAAATATGATCAAATCATTAAGAAGGCATTCATCATTTTTCATATAACATATAGATCCCTTAAAATACCTGCAGATAAAACAATGGTTATAATTTAATACGATTGTAAGGAAAACCAAAACTTTCTCTAATACAATGCAACAAATGCATCTCAAGAAATGACGGAAAGAAGAAAATGTTTATTTCGAGCCCTATAAACAACATAATGCTAGGACTAATCAGAACGGGCATTATGTACAATCCCACTCCCACCATCTGACCCAAGCATTTCTTTACCATGAAACGCACTTCACGAACAATTCTCTTTAAAGTCACTGTTCTCACGATTACCAAAAAAAGGGTATTTCCAATTGAAACTAATGGTAAAGAACAACTTAGCACAAATGGGATCATTGAAGCACAATAGCAGCATTTAGGAAACGTACTTTTCAGCATATTGGAGAAGATAAAGATAAGCAAGCTTCTTCACTTCCAACGACTGAGACGCCACGTTCTTCACAACCTGTAAACCCGCGTAAAGAGCCGGCGAGTCCCGCAAAAATTCAAGACAGATGAACACTGAAGGACAAGAGATAAAACCTGGGGGAAGAAGTTGCAGACGTCAACGCCCTGTGCGATGAGGGCAAGGAGGCGCTTGAGGGCCTCGCACTTCTCGGAGTCGAAGCGGCTGTCGAGGAGAGGAGCGATGTTGACGTCATCGGGATCATCATAGAGGTGAGCGTCGGTGCCGATCCGGAAGACGAGAGTGGATGCCCGACTGAGACTGTCCGCCGTCGCCGCTCCGAACTGGGGAAACATCTCTGTTAGACCTCCAGTTCTTGCGAGGTCCGATCCCCTCGATCCGATTTGATCCGCTGGGTTTGCTCTCTGTTAGCCATTTCAGGTTATGAACCTAGCCGGATAGGGTAGTTTCGATTTTTTCGAATTACCACTCAAAATTATTAGATGCAGAGTGCGTAGAGTGTGTACCGCGGCATAAGTGCTGGGTATCGAGTGCAGGTTCTGCTAGATACATAATATTTGTGTGGACGTTTTCCCCATCTGCACTCCGCACCTAATAATCCCTCGTTAGGGCAAATTATTGCATCCGGTTACCGAACGCGGAAATAGGTCCGGATATTAATAAAATATTATTTTAAATTAAGCTTGTCAAAAGCGCAGGTAAAGCGCAGATAAAACAAAGTCAAAGTGCACCTAAAGCACAGTCAAAAGCGCAGGTGACGTGACATGTTTTTATTGGATATCTGAACCTATTATGCGCGTCCGGTGACCGGATGCAATAATTTGACCTTGTTAGAGCCTTAACAAAGTGATATCTACTACGGTCTCCTGCCGACTACAGTTCTTCAGGCCTTTGTCGCCTACTATGGTCCTCCCGACCTCCATCAACAGGCAACGGTCTTTCTGACTCCGGTCTCCTGCCGACCACGGTCCTTCAGGCCAAACAAACCTGTATATGTAACTCTTACCATGTAATGCAATCTATATGATGTATATTTGCTACATCAATCCAAGGCCTTCTCCTAAGGAAGGGCCTCATTTGTAATCGACTACAAATACTAGTGGATTCATTCAAACCGGGCCAGGCCCCGTGGTTTTTCCCCCTTTTTTTTCAGGGGTTTTCCACGTAAAAACTTTGGTGTCTCTTATGAACGCTACACCCTCTCACTTATCTGATTGTGTGCTGGATCTTCGTACAACGCTAAGACGTTAAACTATATATTTCTCTACCGCCGCGAATATTCCAGGACGCAACAACTCTTAACAAAATAAATTAATTTTTTCTAAATAAAAAATCAAGTCAAACCATATTTAAATTCAATAATTTAATTCTAAAATGAGCGAAATATAGATTTTAATTGAGCCTTCACATTGTATCTTGATTTTATAATTAAATACAATAAATCAAAAATCCGTCATTATCAAATTTTTAGTCAAATACTCTCGTACAATATTTTTTGCTTTCCTCATCTCATCCCCGGCTCAATTGCAAATGTCAACGACAGCCTAACCTTTAATCCTTCATATATTAAAAATAGTTCCTTTCTTTATATACTTCTGAAACAACTGTACCTTCGCGGATATCCATCCTATAAAAATTGTCCATGGAGAAATTCTCCGGCAAACGCCGCGGCCGCGCCGCCGCAGCTGCCTTTTTCATCCGCCACTGCCCCTTCTTCCTCTACGTCCTCCTCATACCTCTCCTCTTCGCCGTCTGGTCGCTCCTCCTCCACTTCACCCACCTCCCCTCTCCTCCCCCTCCCAATGACCGATGCGCCAACCGCTATATCTACATTCACAATCTCCCCTCTCGCTTCAACACCGACCTCCTCCGCAACTGCCGCTCTCTAAGCCAATGGACCGATATGTGCCTCTTTCTGTCCAACTCCGGCCTCGGCCCTCCCCTCCCTTCTTCCTCCATCTTCCCCAGCTCCACCTGGTACTCCACCAACCAATTCTCCCTCGACCTCATCTTCCACCACCGCATCAACCGCTATCCTTGCCTTACCCTCAACTCATCCCTCGCCTCCGCCATCTTCGTCCCCTTCTACGCCGGCCTCGACATATCTCGCCACCTCTGGTCCGGCCCAGAGGCCGGCAACGTCTCTGTTCGAGACTCCTCCCTTCATGACCTGACCCGATGGCTCACTTCCCGGCCCGAATGGGCCGTCATGGGAGGGAGAGATCATTTCTTCGTCGCCGGAAGAATTACTTGGGATTTCCGCCGGTTGTCGGAGGGCGAGACCGATTGGGGCAGCAAACTCCTCCTTTTACCCGCCCTTGCGAATATGACGGCTTTGGTGATCGAGTCAAGCCCATGGCACACGAACGACATTGCCATTCCGTATCCGACTTACTTCCATCCCGGTACGGACGCTGATGTCACCACGTGGCAGGATAGGGTGATGCGGCTGCGGCGGCCGTTTCTCTTCTCTTTCGCCGGCGCTCCGCGGCCGAACCGAACCGACGATATCCGCGGCCGGCTCACGGATCAGTGCCGCGGCTCAGAAAGGTGAAATTTTTTATAGTTTATAACTTTATATATAACTTTTTTTTTTTAATTCATTCGTCAGCTTAGATTTATGTCAGAATTAAAATCCAAAATAATTAAATTTATTTTAAAATAAATACTCACTCCATATTTCCGTCCAGATGCGGGCTGCTGGAGTGCGGGTCCAGCGTTAGCCGGTGCCACTCGCCGGAAAGCGTGATGAAACTATTTGAGAGCTCGGTGTTTTGTCTCCAGCCACAAGGGGATTCGTACACCAGACGTTCAGCCTTCGACGCCATGGTGGCCGGCTGCATTCCGGTCTTCTTCCACCCAGGCTCCGCATACGTGCAATACTTCTGGCATTTGCCGAAGAACTACAGCTCCTACTCTGTATTTATACCGGAGAAAGAGGTGAGAGAGGGGAAGGTGAAGGTTGAGGACATTCTGTCAAAGTTTGGGGAGGAGAAAGTGAGGGCAATGAGAGAACAAGTGGTGAGATTGATTCCAAGATTGGTCTATGGGGATCCGAGAGGGAAGATGGAGAGTGTGAAGGATGCGTTTGATGTGGCTGTGGAAGGGGTGATTGAGAGAGTGGAGAGGAGGAGGAGGAGGATGGATGATCAGATGAGGCTTTGGTCTGTTGACGTTGATGAAGAGGAGGAAAGCTGGCAGTTTTATTTGGGTGGTAGAGGGAAGCATGAGTGGGATTATTTCTTTTCTTCAGCAAGTATGTAAATGATGTGAATAAGTGATATCGATCGAGATAATGTGGGAAATTATACATAGTGGAAAAATAATTATTTTAGCTGAATGATTAATTGTGATCGTTCTTCTTGTATTCATTTGAATTCAGACAGAATTTTAATGTAATCAGTTTAATAAAGATTTGATTGGAATCGCATTTCTTTTCCTTTTTAAATGTATTTATGCTCAAACATTAGATTTATATTGTTGGATACAAATTTGTTGGAAATAACACCCAAGTTGACGAACTCTTCTATATTGTTGGATTCAAATTTGTTGGAAATAACATCCGAGTAGACGAACTTTGAGAGGAGAGACATGAAACTTGTGTGATAATGAAGAGAACAACTTACTAGTAAAATTATAAGAAAATACTAAAAAAGCTCAAAATCTCAAAGAGTCAAAAAAAAATCCCAAATACTAAGATACAAAATGCTGATGCCGGGCGGAATAGGAGAAACGATCACGGAAAGGAATGCAAACTGCAGGAACTCGCAGCTCACATATAACCCAAGAACGTGCTTCTTGAGAGGGTATCACTATTTTAATAATCATGATACAGAACCCAGAAAAAAGAATTAAATCTCAAATCTTAGTCATCTCCTCTCTCTCTTTCTCTATTACAAGCATTAGCCACATTTATAAACAATGGTAGAAACATAATAGACTACACCCAACATAAGAAAGCACTACTCCTATACAGACATACAAACTACCATATGATATTACTCTCTAGCCTAAAGTTAACAGGATTAAGCAGCTTAGCTCTAACATCAAATGCTCCTCTTCATCATTTATTTATAGTATTATAAGGGCCATGATAAAGGCTACACCCATAAAGTTCTGATTGACAGAGGGAGAGAGGAGGGCTACAGAGCTCTAATGATCTATTAGATGGTTGAATGATCTTTGGGGAGAATTTGAAGTTCTTGTGCAGAACTGAACGATGCCAATTGATCTCCAACTTTGCAAGTAAAGTTTTCTTTCTTTATGGAGCTTAAAAAAAGAGAGCAACAAAACTGTACAAATTAGCTTATATGATTGTATAGTTAATAAATAAAGAAGCTAACGAAAGATAATTGTGTGCCTGTATATTGGCGAGATATACTGGTAGGCTGCAAGCAGGTTTCATCGAAGCCAAAATCTCTCTTTCTCTATTTCTCTCTCTATATATTTTTGTTGAGCCATCAATTGAAGAAGTTGAATGACCGGAGTTGCACGCTATTCTGCTTTGTTTTTCCAATCAAAGCAAAGCGACTAATTCAAATTGGAAAGATCTTATTTTATTAAATGATTATTATATAGATTTTAGTTGGTATGTCAATATATATTATTTGTTTATAAATCATTAAATCGTGCATCAAAAAATACTTTCATTTAATAAAAGATATGAATTAACACATTATCTCCTATGGATTTTTTATGGGATACATTGTTTGGAAATTGGAATCGATATGAGGAGGATCATCATGTTGTGTTAGAGGTGCATGAAATGAAGGTGTTGGTAGTACGTCTGATTTTGATTCACAAACTATTTAAATTGAGTAATAAGATATAAATGATATTGAAGGATTGTTGAGGGATACGTTTGCTCAAATCAATGACTCAACTAACTTAGTTGACCAACATCAAAATTTTACTCATGATTCAACTAAAGAAGATAAAAAACACTCAAAGTTATTAAAAAATGCGGGAGCTGAATTATATCATGTACAACATCCACAACTAAGAACCTCGACTATGATAGGGAAAATTAAAAAATATATATGTTCATTTATAGATTTACTTATCATTTTAATTTTTATAGATGAATTCGCTTTTATTAATAAAGAGACAATGATAAATTGATATCCAAAGTGTAGAAGAAGGAAAGATGAAATATAAATGGGAAGCAAAATCTTTTTTCTTATGTATGACTAATGTTTTATTTTGAAATGTTATCATGATTTTAATTTTATGTTCATCACTAGGTAGATATATATATTTCAATGCATGACAATATTGATTTTATTATCATGATAGTTATAAAATTTGATGTTACTTATTATGTTCAATATTCTTCGTTTATTCATCCGACTCACCTATATTTATTCATAATGCTTGGTTTCAGTTAATATTGTCATAATCATCAATTGCTTTACTTGTACATTTTTTTTACTATGATGTTTTGCATGTTAGATTGAATTGCTTTTGCCTTTAGTTATTATGGTATGGCCTCATGGATTGATGCATGTCTTCAAGTGGTGGTTTAACTATATATTTTGGATAAATGTTCATTTAATTTTTTAAGAATGAAATGTAACAGATAATAATAGCTATATGGTTTTCTTTTGTAGAAATACATGTAGTTTGATCATTGGTGCTAAAATATATTAAATATTGCAAATATAATCCTATTTGATTGTTTTTTTATTATAGATAGAATGTTAATATGATGGAGGTTGTTCACTATAATTTTGCTTTGAACTCCAAATTCTAAAATCACACAAGAGAAATTAGTTAATTTGACAATCAAGCAACAATATTTTCTTTAAAAAAAAAAAAAAACACTTACAGAATTGTAGTGGTTTTAATAATTGCAATTGGTCTGTTGTAATAGATTTATAGCGGTCTTAGCTGCTGCTATGGGGTCATTTCTACAAAATTGTAGTGATTTTAATCGATGCTATTTTACAACAATGCAGTGGCTAAAACCGCTGCAAAATAACTGTTGTCAAAAACATGTATTTAAAGCAATAGTTTAGAGAACGTTAGAAAATACATTTCATCGATAACAAACATAATGGATTTGTAGCAATTCTTAAACCGTTGCAAGGAATATTACAGAGGTGTAAACCGTTGTAATAGGTGGAAAAAAAATATTGCGAAAGTCTGATTTAGTAATAGTGGCATGTGAAAGGAAACAAGGAGTCATGTATCTATTTTTCGAAAAGGAAATGGCTGAAAATGTATCTATTTTTCAAAAGGGAAATGGCTGATGTTTAATTGCATGACATAATAAAAACTGAAATTTTCCTACTAAAGACCACACAAAGATTTATTATATTCTGATTTAATCTTTCTCCATACTAATCGCAGGAAGAAGCTTCATTATGAGCTTGCAAAGCATTGAATGTTGCTCTGCTACTCTGTTTCACCATTAAGCAAAAAGAGATTTTCTTAATTCGTTTTGATAGGCTTAAAATAAACTCATGCAATGAAGACAGAATTATATACTCATCAATTAAATTATATAAACATTTTTTAAGTATTTTTATGCGTCAAAATCTTATCGCTTTTCTTGTCATAATCATGGATACACTTGAAATCGTTTAAATAACTATGTAAATCGTTAGAATAACTATGTAAAGATGCTTCTTTTGATTATAAATTTGTTAAAAAAATAGAGGCAGTAAAATCTCGGAGATGATCCCAAAAGTTTTTCTATTAAATATTCAAAATGCTCTAAGATATATAAATCATGTCAAAACCAATATCAAATTAGATGAATATTTTGATGACATTAATCTTATCGCTTTTCTTCTGAAGCTATTGCATGCCCCATCCCTTGATGAGTACGAATGCCAAAATAGTTTCTAGTGATGATTTGTTGCAATGTCATATATTATATGTGATATATCTCCAAAAAATTTATTTGATTGGCATAAATCTCATTGCATTATTTGTATTGAAAGCTTCAGAAGTTAAATTTAAAACTATTCAAATTCTGATTTCAACAAGCGTACATACAAATTAAACATCTCTATAAGAGAAACCCTAGAACTAGAGACTACTTAATGGGGAAGTCGATGTTGCTTTGATCATATGTAGATTGCAGTAGCAAATTCCGCTGCAGAGTATTTTTATCTTGACTTTATATTCCTCGGTGGTAGAGTGAGATTAACATCTAAACTTTATATGAAGATCTAACACACTTACAAGTTAAGTGTGGTAGAGATAAGGATGCTCAGGTGGATGAGTGGCTTTACCCTTAGAGATAGGATACGAAATGAGCATATACGTGAAAAGGTTGGAGTAGCTCTAGTAGAAGATAATATTAGAGAGAGTTGCCTTAGATGGTTTGGTCACATAAAACGGCGGCCTTCCAATGACCTGGTTAGGAGAGATTTAAATGAGAATTTGACCTCTAATATGACAAAATGGAGAAAAATGATTCATGTAGCCGACCCCACGTAGTGGGATAAAGGCTTGATGTTGATGTTGTTGTTGTTATCTAACACACTTACATAACATAAATTTTCATGAGTGCATCAAATATTTATGTGAGATGAGTGAAAATTATGGGGCATGTCTAAATTGAAATAGTGAACCATTAACGTAAAGTTATAGAAGTTTGCTCTTTCTCGTAACTAGAGAAGATGGGATTATAAAGTTGGGAGCACTTGTTGACATTATGGGAGAAATAGTAGAGGGCTATGACTGTGATGCCCCAGAATCAAATAGTGAAAGGATTCGTCTGACATTCTGATCGAACTCCATTCCAGTTGCCTTGCTCGGATCTGAAAATTTCAACCACATATAATGAGCTTACAAAGCCCAGCAGGTCACCAAAGCCTACAACTGAAATCAAAGCACGGCGATGCTATCAATATGCAGGTCAATCAAATCAAGTCAATCAATGGTCAATGAGTATATGCAATGCGGAAATCAAATCAATCATCAATGCAGTACGGAAATCAATAGTCAATAATCAATACAGCGGTAAAAACATCGATAAATCAATACTCCTCAGTAATCAAATCAGTAAGTGACTGGAAGCCAATATCTATCCATCGTAGCAGTGTCTATCAATCAATACTATCAATTCAATCAATCATGTTGTCTAGTCAATTAGTTGAATCTATATCATCTGTCTAATCAATCAAATGTCTGTGTCAATTAATAGCAATCAATAGCATCAATTAATTCAATAAGGGACTCATGTCAGAAAGTACTCTTGCAAATCAGTCAATCCAATTATTCAATACGATTTACTCGATATCAATATACAATATTTAATGATACTACGGCAACGAGTACGGTTCAATAATGACGACGTACAATGCTACAATAGGGAATCATCTCAATCAATAGAATACTTTCCAGTCAATTATATCAATCGGCTCAAATCCCAATAAATAATCAAATCAATACGGCGAAAGATCAATTGAAATCAAATCAATACAATGAAATCATCAGGTCTCAATTCGTTGTATCTATATCATCTGTCCAATCAATAGAATGTCTGTATCAATTAATAGCAATCAATAGCATCAATTAATTCAATAAGGGACTCGTCTCAGAACGTACTCTTGCAAATCAGTCAATCCAATTATTCAATACGATTTACTCGATATCAATATACAATATTCAATGACTCTACGACAACGAGTACGGTTCAATAATGACGACGTACGGTGCTACAATAGGGAAATCATCTCAATCAATAGAGCACTTTCCAGTCAATTATATCAATCGGCTCAAATCCCAATAAGCAATCAAATCAATACGGCGAAAGATCAATTGAAATCAAATCAATACAATGAAATCATCAGGTCAATAGAAATCAATACAATCAGCTCTATAAAGGAAATCTATTCTACGATAAATCAAATCCATACGGCAACAATCCATTCAAACAATCAGTACGACGAATCAATGTATCAATGTATATCAATAACCTATCAGGATCTGTCGTATCAATAGTATCCATATGTCAATATCATATATATATCAATATCGATGTCGGTATCTATCAATCGGTACAATCTATATCAATATCGGTGTTAATCTCTATGAATCAATACGCATAATCCATATCAATATTGGTGCCGGTATCTATGAATCAATCAATCCATAAATCAAGTCGATAATATCAATCGGAAAAGCAATACAATAAATCCAATCGGAAAAGCAATACGATAAATCCAATCGGAAAAGCAATACGATAAATCCAATCGGAAAAGCAATACGATAAATCAATAGTAGCAAGTCAAATCAATGAAGAATCAATAGAATCAATGAGTCTATAAATCTATGCCGTCCATATCCATATCAATGTCAATAATCAATAATCAATAGTATCAATGCTCAATGATCAATCAATGAAATCAATGAATCCGTACGATACAGTAAAGCCGATCAAATCAATAAAGCAGATATCGATAAAACAATAAATCCGTTCAATCCAATAAATCCATCAATATCAATAAATCAATCGGAAATCAATAAATCAATGCAGATCAGGAAATCCATACGATGCAATATCGTATACATGAAAATCCATACAATGGTCTTACTCGACAAGCACAAACACTAGCTATTATCAATAGTGCTGTTGTAGAATCCATATTACTGTTGTAGATATCCATACGTTGGTTTCAATTAATAAGAGTCGTCACTCTTTTGCCCGTCGGCCGCCCGTCGGCATATCTATAAACTCCTTATGACTCCCAATCGTTATATCAATGATCAATGGTTTAAAGGAAAGCCCGTCGGCCCACCATCATGTACAGGTCAAGTCTATCTCCAACCAACGTTCAACCAGGTTTCCACTTGTCTTTTAGTAACAATCAATCAATGCAATAATCGATGCAATAAGCAATAATAAAGAAATCTAGAACAATCATATCATATCAATTTCGGGAAAATCAGAAATCATACGAAAATCGGGCAGAGTAACGGCAGTTGGTCAAATTTACACAAAAATCCTGCAAAAACCACAAATTCCAAATTCTTCCAAATTACAGTAGAATATCTATGACATCAATACAAGACTATTGTCATATAGAAACCAAATCAAATCACGTCCTGATATTTTTCTATTCAATAAAAATCGCGTAGAATCAATTCTGAACGGTAAAATCGTCGCAGAAAATACTCAAATCGTGTACAATAATCATATCTATAACATACCAAAAGTTGTGCGATGAAAGTTGTGTCAAATCAAAATCGTGTCCAAAATTCGACTACGAAAACACAAAACAGTGCACAACTCGCTCAAAACACAATATCTTTGAAAACAGAGATAGGATTCGGAGTCCTTACCACGAGATCTACACTTTTCCCAACAGCAGCGTCGAACGAAAAGCACTCCGCGGCCTCCAAAACCAAGCTTTTCCTCTTTTCCCTTTCTCTTTCTCTCTCCTCAAATCAGATATTTTGTTTTTAAAATGATTTTCTCTCTCATCAAAACGAGCTGATTTTCATATATCATTAGTCTGATCGGCCCGGCCGATCGCCAAATCGTCCCGGGACGATCAGACCAAAATCGATCGTCCTGGACGGTTCCTTGAACTTGTTTCAGGACGATATTTTTAACAGTGCAGATCGGCCTGGACGATCTCACTATCGTCCCGGACGATCCTGGGAGGAAAATCCAAGCTAGAGAGGAACAATAAGGGAACGATGTCTCACAATGACAGTGGTCAAGAAATGATGTTTGGATGATAAAGTTCAGATGATGATAGTCAAGAGATGGTGGTCAAGTGAAAACAATCAGATGATAATGGTCAGTGGATGGCAGTCAGGTGATTACGATTCGATGACAATGGTTGGGCAGACATTATATAAGCAATAATGATTAAGAAATAATGGTGGTTAATTAGATGACTAAAGTGGGATGAAGGCAGTTGTAAGAGATGATTGCCAGCTTTTGTTGTTGAGCATAGTTCAATATTTTTTAAGATCTCCAAGCTCTTAACAAGTTTAATTTCAAAATCTTTCTTCATTTGAAGAATGAAAGTCTATTTATAATTTTTAGAATGACATTTTTTTTTGTCAAAGTTCTAAATACTCCATCATATGTCCCATGGTGATTCCCTTAATCATAAACAATTCTTTCAACATGGAGAGCTTTAATGATCTAAAAAAAGAGTGATCTCGAGCTAGTTGGGTTCCTCTCATATATACACCGATCATGATTTTGACTATAAAGATACATGATTTGGTGTCATTTTGCTCTTCAAGTAATATTAAGAAGTTTCAAATAATATGTCAAGTGCCTATATTATGCTCATTTAATTTTATATGAGAGATGCACATGCAATTGTCTCTTCAAAACATTCAATTTGACTATAAATTTTTCTCATTAGAGTTATAATAGTTTTGAAATTAATTTATATTACATTGATATCTAACTCATATTTATCAAATGAATTTTTAAATGTTGTATCAAAAATTAATAAATTTAATTATATTTGATTTGAAATTTGACTCGAAATCAATTATTCTTCAAATGATAATAAAGTCAAAACTTAAAAGAAAATATAAAAAAATAAAAAAAATAAAATAAAGTGATCAAACTTTCAATTTTTTTTTATTTCAAATTTTGACTAACTCCTCCGTTAACCTTAATTGATAAAAGAGTTGCAAATGAGCACCGCATGATAATACTATTCAGAACTCGCACGTCATGCAATTCGTCATTTGTTCTTGCGCTAAATCTCAGCTTTCAAATATATGACTTCCCCCTATATCAACCATATGTAATGCAGTACGTCACCAAAACGCCAAAGGCTCATATAAAAATGGGAGTGGCAGACCACCTTCGTTCGATCAAACTAAAGCAGCAACCTTCCTTAATAATTTCTGTTTCAGAATCAAACGATCGACAAGCTAGCAATGGCTGCAGAGAAGAAGACGAGACATCAGAATAAAGCCTTCGGCTGGGCAGCCCGTGACACCTCCGGCATCCTTTCTCCCTTCAACTTCACCAGAAGGTACGAGAAAGATCTCATTTTTTTTCAAGAAAATATTTATTTATGTTGTCTCTTAAATTAGAAGTCTTGAATATCTTATTATTCGATATAAACATCTTGTAATTCGAATAAAATTTTCATTTTTGATCAACAAATCTCCTCATTCAGAGCCACCGAGGAATCTGATGTGAGAATAAAAATACTCTACTGCGGGATTTGCCATACTGATCTGCATATGAGCAAAAGTGTCATCGACTTCCCCATTACGTATCCTCTTGTTCCAGGGTATGTTTATGCATGTTTTACTCTGTTCTTGGAGAGAAAAGTAAGAAAAATTATATTTTTATTTCTGTAATTTATGTCGGAATCCATTATCCAGGCATGAGATCGTGGGTGAGGTGATCGAAACTGGAGCCAATGTGAAGAAGTTCAATGCCGGAGATAGAGCCGGCGTGGGCTGCTTCGTTCGCAGCTGCGGCGACTGCGATCAATGCAATGAGAGCCTCGAGAGCTACTGTAATAGAGCGGTAATGACTTACAACGGCACCGATCACGACGGCTCGCCCACCTACGGCGGCTACTCCGATACAATCGTCGTCCACGAGCGCTATGTGTTTCTCATCCCCGACCGACTCCCACTCCACTCCGCCGCTCCGCTACTCTGCGCAGGCATCACCGTCTACAGCCCAATGCGTTACTTCGGCCTCGACCGCCCCGGCCTACATGTTGGTGTCGTCGGCCTCGGCGGCCTCGGCCATGTCGCCGTCAAGTTTGCAAAGGCTATGGGGATGAGTGCCACAGTCATCAGCACCTCGCCGCACAAACAAAAGGAGGCAATTGAACTCCTGGGAGCTGATCGCTTTCTTGTTAGCTCTTTATGAGATTAATTCCCTGTGGAACGAACTAACCCCCATTATGAGAGAAAGATGATTGGTAGTTATTTTCTATGGATTAGTTATAATAACTGCTCATATGGGTTATTTGATCAAACGTTTCATAAATGATTGGTCAAATTATTTTTTCTTGTCCAATAGGATTTATATATAAATAATTGAATTTCAATAATTCAAATATACGGGTTACTTAATGATATACTTAAATAATTATTATGATGTCTTATATAATTATTATATTTAATTATTCTAACAATATCAATATCATGAACAACTTGAACAAAATTATAACATACTCTTTACTTTTATTTGCATGATTTTGATTACTTCGTTGGCTTTGCAGGAGGCAATCGGTAGTTTGGATGGGATAATTGATACTGTATCTGCATATCACCCAATAGCACCATCGTTAGGACTATTGAAGGCACATGGTAAGCTGGTGGTTCTTGGAGCATCAAAAGAGCCACTACAAGTACCTTCTATCCCTCTTCTTTTAGGTAAGAAATACTATATTATAATGTCATTTCCTTTGATGATTAATTTGATGATTTTAAGAAGTTGTATGGCATGTAATTTTGATTTTATCTTGTGCTTGAAAATACAGGAAGAAAGATTGTGAGTGGTTCTGCTGCTGGAGGCATGAAAGAAACGCAGGAGATGATAAATTTTGCTGCAGAACATAACATCAGCGCTGAAGTTGAGGTTATACCAATGAGCTACGTGAATACAGCAATGGAAAGACTTGCTAAGGGAGATGTCAAATATCGATTTGTCATCGATGTGGGAAGCTCTTTGAAGGCTGATTAGATGAGTGGATTAAGCGATTATCATACTATTTTGCGTTTTGTTCTTTTTTTTTTTCTTTGTTGTGATTTGTAACATTGGCGTGTATGTTACTATGTTATGATCTTATTTGAATAAATTGATGACATTTGTGTTGAAAATTTTGTATTTTATTATTTATCTCTCTTTTTGTCCTCTAGTTTTTGTTATTATGTTGACAGGCAATTGCTTATATTATACGTACTACGATTTTGTTTGGGTTAGCTTTTGTACTGCTTTTTAAAACGGCTTTTTAGTACAAACATTTCAAATTCAAAAATTTTTTGTGCTATGAAATTTTTGTACTAGAAAGTTGTTTTAGAAAGCAAGAAGAAAGCCATCCCAAACAATGTCTAAAACTTTGTTTAGAATGACTTTTTTTATTGATTTTTAAAACAGAGCTTTAAATAAAAAATTTTAGTACTAAAACTCTATTTTAAAAAACAATAAAAAAATTATCTCAAACGAAACCTAATTTATAAGACATTGATGGCTATCTAAGTGAAGAGTAGTGTTGGTAAGGTGAGCGAGGTCAGAAGTTTAGAGGCAAAGTGAATCTTATAGAGACTCATATGACATGGTCCTTGGAGAAGGGTCTTGCTGGCCTTCAAATCCTTAATAATGAAGCCATTTAAGTGAAAATGATAGCAAGAGTTATCAACAATGAGTTTATGAACTAGGAAGAGTTTACATAAGAGATATGGAATGTTATGTAAGCTCGATAGGGGAAACCTATGAGAAGGAGTGGGTAGTATTTTATGGTTGGCATTGGCTAGGAAGAGGGTCTAACTGTCACACTCCAAAATTTATATTCGGATATTCCATGAGTGTATCTTAAGAGTATCTTACTCATGCACTTATGACTCCTAATCAGTCGTCACTTATTATTTTTAATCAATTTACTATTTACAACTCCCCTTTGAATCAAGTGAGGGAATCGGTGGGGTGAGAAAGGGATATATATATATATATATCGCAATGCTCACTAGATCATCATTAAAACGCTCTTCTTGAGAATTTTTATATTGCTCAAGAAATACATGTTGCATCGATAGCTTCCATTTTATTTTATTTTTAAGATACTTGGCCAATGATTGACCGCACATTGAGATGTAGTGGAGCTAATTTTTAAGTTAAATAATATAGAATTTAAGGGTTGACAATAGGCAACAATCCATGCTGGTTAATTGTTTCGGATATTGTTCCCGAATTTGAAGTTGATGACACAGGGAGTGAGAGTTGCGAGGATGGAGGAGCACAACACAAGCACAAGGTTTCAATGACTAGTAGCTAAGTATTGTAATGGGACTAGAAGTAATGGTACTTGTCGGGATGATGCATGGATTTACTCAGATGGCTTTAGTATCATGTTGTTTAGGTATTCTTCAAAGTCATTTGCATGAAAGATTTTGAGTATTTGAGATTGCCAAGTGGGATGATTGTTCGGTGTGAGAGGCTTGTTGATGATATTTCTTGAAATTATAAATGAAAATTTGAATTGTTATAGAATTAGTATTTTGCAAGTGAAAAACATGTTGTGTTGTCGATTGTTTCATGATGAACGGTGAGAAGGTCAAGAGTAAGAAGGAGATTGGCGGAAGAATGAGTCATTAGGCTAACAGCTTTGATATCCTAAAGAGTCATTAGGCTAACAACTATGATGTCATCATAAAGAATATAACACACTTAAAATCAAATATTTCAAAATTTGCCAATTTCAAGTAGAAAATTTAGGCAGATTCAAGTAAAGTCCATTGATTTAAATTTAAAATAATTATATCATTAATCAAGATTAAATATGTATAAAGCATTCAATAGTTCATATGTTTATTAAGTGTCTTTAAAACTTATTAGCCCTTCAAGGGGAAATTTTATTTGGTCTGGTAACCTGATGTAGCTCTACATTCAGTGAGCAGTAAGCAAGCGCCACGTGTTCTCACTATTTACCGCACGGCCTGACAACCTGACCCGGAACGGACCCGGGAGTTTGCGTATTGCTAGGTATTGGTCGATTTTGCTCAACAAAAACGAAAAATACCATTTTGTGAAGACCAATACCTAGCAATACCGAGCAATACCGAGTTCTTTTAGGTATTACTCGGTATTGCTCGGTATTGCTCGGTATTGATCTTCACAGAGCGGTATTTCTCGTTATTGCCAAGCAATACCGAGCAATACGCGAACATAGTAATCCCGGATTCCGGTCTGAGTCGGGTCGTCGGGCCGCGCGGTAAAGGGTAAGAGCACGTGGCGACATATTATTGGCTACCAAACATAGAGCTACATCAGGTCATCTGACCTAATAATTTTTCCTTCAATGGAGTCTTAAAAGGTCCAATCCACTCAGAATTTTTGTAGATTTAAACTTCTTTTGGGACAATTTTAACCTTTTTTTCTGAAGCAACTTTTTAGCACAACTGCGCCAAGCAAAAGCACAAAATGGCAGAAAGGAAAATAGAAAAAAAAAATAGAGAAGCCACTTGGACTCAGACCTGGCCAAGATCAGGAATTCATTGCAATTCAAATCAGAAGTGACAAACAATTGCGCCAAACAAGTGGGAGAAGGTTGTAAGTAGCAAGCAGTTGTCATCCAGAGATAAGGCACCATCGTTCCAACCAGATAATTGTAGTTCAACAAAATTCCACAACATAGCAGCTAAAAAAGACAAAAAGGTGTCCAAGATGACCAAAGAAAACTTCCAAACTAAGAGATTGTTAGTTCTGCATCGAATCTGGTTAGGTTTGATCAATTGGATTGAACTGCTTTCTCGGATATCAATTTAGTTTGTTGAGTTCATTGGGATTGCAGGGGTTTCTCCCCCTACTTGGGTACGAGTGCTTTGCACTAGAAAAAAAAATTTACCATAAAAAACCCCAACGCTACATAGTTTGATGAAAAAAGATAAAGAAGCGGATTGTTGCGGTGTTACAAACCTCAGCGCCGTTAGGGAGCGTTGCAGCTCTCCAGACCTGACGTTGTGGCACTGTTGTGCAAGTTGAAATCAGAAAATGGGAGCGCTGCGGCAGTTCAACTTGGAGCCACAACGCTACGAAGCCGGCTGGGCAAATTTCACAATAGGCTTAATAGTCATGGATTCCTTCGAGGAAAAACATTATGCTTTTAAAAACAGTTTTCCAAAGAAAAAAAGGGCCGTCCTTCTAAGCCATATTGTGATCCTTAACTTGGAAGAAAAAAAGTCTTCATCCAGGGTTAAAGGTTGCATGTTATGTAGAGAAATAGATCTTCAGCCATTGTTAGGTACCGAGCAAGATGGAAGGAGAGGACAAAGCCAGCAGGAAACCCTAGAGGAAAAGCCCCCACACCAAAGCATTCCAATCACACCCAAAACAAGAGAGCCTTACTTCTATAAAATGATAATTTCAATGCAATGAATATGTGATGGTGGGCAAATAGTTAGCAAATAACAATAATCTCATGCAGAGAAAAAAAATCTCCTTCTCCAACAGAAAAAAAAAAATACAAGCATTTGTCAAAGTTTCAGGTATCAATTTCGTCAAGAATGATCTTTATAGTAACTATCTGCAGATCACTTCATTTGAGTTCAAACTTTGTATAAAAACAGGATCTCCAGAGTCGAGCAACAAAATATTCGATTTAAATGCCATAAGTTGCTGGAGAAAACCCTAAACCTAGTAAAAAGAGAGTGAAAAAGCCAGGTCTGTACATTAATTACTAGGTTATGAGGATAAATTATTGAAATCAATCATTCTTCTTGCTTTTCATAATATACGGTTCATTGAACAGCAAAAAAGCTACGTTGGTAATACCTCTCCTTCAAGTGAGGGAGAGTCATCATCCACTTCTGTTTCACCTTTGGAAGATTTTGACCTCTCGGTCTCGTTTTCTTCGAACCCGTGTTTAAACCTATCATAGTTTGTGGGCTCACTAGCTTTGAAGGGCCGCTCCCCGAGGACATGGATAAGATCATCTTGATGGAGGATCTCCTTCTTCAATAGCAGCTCAGCGATCTGGCTGATGTGATTCTTGTGCTCTTTAACGAGCTCCAATGTTCTAGCATAAGCCTTTGAGACCTTCTCTCTCACCTCACTGTCTATAATGGCTGCAGTCTCATTGCTGTAAGGTTTGTTCATCTCAAATGAATCTTCCTTCGGAGGGAAAGAAAGAAGCCCAACTTTCTCACTGAAGCCATATACTGCAACCCGGGCATAGGTCATTTTGGTGACCTTCTCCAAGTCATTTTGAGCTCCAGTGGAGATCTTCCCTAATAGAACCTTCACCGAAAGAAAAAAATTACACCTTTGTTAGATTATATTGGATTCAATTTAAAGAGTTAACAGTCTATTTGAATCAAATTTGGAAAGTCAAAATGCTAAATTAGATACGTTAGATAGTCTAGGGTGAAAACGTTCCTCATAACTAATCTAGGGGTCGGATTATTTTGATATTTTTCTCTTGTTCCTATAATCTAATAACTATTAATAAAATAATAAAGAAGAAATAATAAATTAAAGATGTCTTGCAAATAATAAATTGATGAAAAAAATTAGAGATCAAACAACAAATCTTGATATTAAATTTGTAATATCCATTTAATAATAATCATAATCAAAACCATAATGATAATCACAATAATGATGATAATAATAATATGATGATGACGACAATGATGATAATGATTACTGAACATAATTATAAGAAAAACAAAATGCAAGCATTAGTTGACCATTATGTATGTAGTGCAGAAACAACTTTATTTCTTTATCTTTCATAAAGATGCAAGTACGTGAGACTAGAAATAAAAGTAACTGCTGAGTATATATATATGAATCTTTCTGAACATACAATATCCTTTTGAAGGATACCAAGGACGAATTTATGGGCAAGGCCAGCTGTAGAATGCAGCTATAACAAGTAAAAGCCAATTAAATAAAATCATGCAATAGCTAATAACCCCACATACAATAGTTCGACTAATAAGAAGTATGAAAATCAAATCTTTCATCAAATGTATCATTGTTATAAAAATGTTGATCAATATTGTTAACAGTTTAAAAATACAGCGTTCACGATCATATACTAAGAAAAACATGTTTAAGCCACATCGGCCCAATTCAAACCACATCGGCCCAATTCAAGTTAAGTCAACTCGGTCTACTTGATCTCAATTTAAAAGGAACTCACCAAGCCTACAAATGAACTCGCCCCAAAGAGGTAACTATAACCAATCAACTCATCCCAACAAACAAGTATCACTATCAAGTCGGCCCTAATGACTACTCAGGTAGATAACTTACTACATATGGAAAACTATTATTTGGCTATTCAGCTATTCATCACTCCAAGCCAGCGACTTCTTATTAGCTCGACGAACGACTTCTACAAGTCGGACGTTCTAATTGGGCTACACATACACAATACTTGTAATTTCTCTTATTTGTTGTATAGTCATTTAAGTAGCCAATTTTTGAACACTCAAGCCTCAACTTAAATCTATAAGAAGAGAGTCAAGGGGTGAGCTCAATGGCTGCATTTTTTTAAATTCATGATCATTTTACAGATAGCTTAGAGTTCACATTATAGAATTCTCAACTCCCTTTCACTGAATATTCTCAACCCCCTTTCATTAAGTACTTTTAGTCTAGTTTGTGATTCTCAGATAATTATGGATTTAACATCATAAAAGATGTGATGAGCATGGAGCTTGTCGCAAACTAAAATAAAAATACTTCATAAAGTAAAGCAGTAACACAGATATCAGAAAGAATGTGTGGGCATGGAGATTACTCAAGAAATAGCCATTGTAAGAAAGCTTCCAATTTTTGAAGAGATGATTCAAGGAGTAGTCTCTTTTGTATAAATCTTCAAAAGTAATGAATAAATTTACAAGTTTCAAAAACTTTTAATTCTATTAACTCAAACAACTTGCCAAATGGATGAGAAACCTAGGGGAACTTGACCAACAACAACAACATCAAGCCTTTATCCCACTGTGGGGTTGGCTACATGAGTCTTTTTTCTCCATTGTGTCCTGCTAAGAGTCAAACTCTCAGTTAAATCTAAGAAAGATAGGTCATTTCTAATATTTTCAAACTCTCATTGTGTCATGTTAAAAGTAAAATTCTCTTGGGGGAACTTGACCATACAATGGAAATAGTTGCACAAAGAAAAGACTCTTCTTAATCTATGTTGACAATTGAAGTCGGCTAACTTCAAAGAAAAACTTAAATTAACATTAGAATTTTTTTCTTAGAAATGCATTTAAATTAGCAAAAAAAAGTTAGCCTAACTTGAGTATGTGGTCAAATTATCTCCTTACATGACAATAATAAATCACTATATTACTCCTTACATGACAATAATACAGGCAGTCAACACTTAGCACAGTCGTCTATCTAAATTTTTTGATATTATTATTGGAAAATATTATCTAATGTTTTATGAAGTAAAATTATTGTATATTAAAAGAGAAATATTCAATAAAAACATTATCTTCAAAAGAAATTTCTCAAAGATTTACTTGTATATTTGAAACTTATTTTTAAGAACTTAAATAAACTAGTCTCATTATAGAACTCATCTCATTATCAAATTCTTCATATTATAAGAATTGCCACATTATTGAATTTGTCTTATTACAGGATTCGCCCCATTATTGAATTCACTGCATTATGGGATCCTCCACACTACTGAATTCACCAAATTAATGAATTCGTCTCATTAAAAATTTGACAATATTCAAACATCATATATTGCTAACTCAAAATATCATTTGGAACATAGGTCAAACCCTAAAACCCAACTTTCCCATTTGCAATGAGATTCACATTAAGCAGCAGAAGAGTCTCTTCCAAGCAAGTGACTCTAATGGTTACCCCGGCAAAAAACAAAGCTCAGGCCTAAAGTGAGGACCATTAAGATGATGACTTATCATTCAGATATATTAAAGAAAAGTAAAAAATGAGTAATGCTTGAAATTTATAAGAGTACATCAATATCTGACAAATTCAATTTTTAATATGTTTTTGAGCTCAATAAATTTATTGAGAGGTGAACTATGGAAGGTATACATTTATTGAGAGGTTTGATGGAGAAGTATAGAAAGAATAAAGAGGATCTACATATGATATTTATTGATTTATACAAAGCATATGATAAAGTTCCAAGGGGAGTGCTAGATTTCTAGAAAAGAAAGGAGTTAATAATACTTATATTCAAGTCATTAAAGATATATATGTAGGAGTTGTTACATGTGTTCAAACATAAAGTGGTTTGACCAAGTATTTTTCGATTGCAGTTGGATTACATCATGGATCAACTATAAACCCATAACTTTTTTGCTTTAGTCATAGATGTTCTTCTAGATATTTTCAAGAGGATGTTCTCTTGTGTATACTTTTGCTTATGATATTCTTCTTATTGATAAAACTAGAGAGGAAATAGAAAGAAAACTTGAATTATGGAGGTCAACCATAGAGTCTAAAGGTTTTTGTTTGAGTAGATCAAAAACCAAATACATGGAGTGTAATTTAATAGATCTAGTAGGGAATTATGACTTTAGGTGATCAAGTCATTAATAAGAGTACACGTTTTGGATATCTTGGGTCTATTGTTCAAAGTGATAATGAAATAGATGCGGATGTTATTAGTAAAATTCAAGTTGGATGGTTGAAGTGGAGGAATGCATTGAGCTTGTTGTGTGATAGAAAAGTAACCCTCAAACTTAAGGGAAAATTATATAAGACAGTGGTAAGACCTACAATGCTTTATGAAGAACAATGTTGGCCATTAAAAGAGAAGCATAAAATTAAGTTAGTTGTTACAGAGATGAGGATGCTTAAGTGGATGAGTGGCTTAACTCTTAGATACAAAATGTGAAACGAGTATGTACATGAAAAGGTTGGAGTAGCTCCAATGGCAGATAAGATTAGAGAGAGTCGCTTTAGTAATTTGGACACATAAAACGTCGACCTTCTGATGACCCGCTTAGGAGATTAGATGTATTGGATTTAACCTATGTTAAGAAAAGTAGAGGTAGATGATGTGGACATCCAACCGTCCATGTCTATCCGAGGAGCTGAAGATCGACGACCGAGATCACTTTGTTTAAGTGTATTTTGATTTAATTTTACAATTTTTCTTTTTTACCCTCTTGTCTTATGTAAGCCCAAGGGGCAAATGTGTCTTTTATTTTCTTTTGAGGCCTATATATAGAGGCATCTTCTCATGTATTAGGTATGATAGATTATTAATAAAAAAAATTTGCGTTTTGCACTTTGGTTCTTTGGGAAGAACGTTAGTGAAATCCCTATGGGAGGGAGTCGGAGTTTCCACCAGCCGCAGGATGGGTCCGGGCTCGTGGCGTGAAGTCTCTTGGAGAAGGGCAACGTAGTACTCGTCAGCCGCAGGATGTGTCCGGGCTCGCGGTTGTATCTTTGATATTTTATTTATTTGCTTTTGTTCCTTCTTATTGCTCTTCGTCGTTATCTTCATCTTCTTCCTCCTCCCCATCTTCGTTTGGCCGCCGGATTCTAACTTCACCCGATCCCACCCTCTTGGCCGCCGGCCACCTTCCCCCATTAGCTCCTCCACCGCCGGCCACCCTTATTTGTCTCCATGAATGAGGAGTCAATACCACCATAATGCTTACCTAAAGTCAAATAATTTAGGAAATTATTTTCATCATTTGAAATTCAAATTTTGAATTTCAAATATTTTCCTAAATTAAAAAGCTATTTTAGGAAAGTATTGAGTCTCATTCATGACATAATTCAAATTTAATTTGGGTGATTTAATTTTAGGGCGGTTTTCAAAATTCAAATTCAACTAATTCGAAATTTGAATTCCTTCCTAATTCATCATTCAAATTTTGGAAAGTTACTAAATGAATTTTATTTGAATTTCAAATTCAAATAGGATATATTTAAACACTTTCCTAAATTTTAAAGCCTTAAATTAAGCACCCAAAATCACCTCCCCAATCTCCTCCTCTATCATTAACCACCGGCCTCCCTCTTTGATAAATCCCTTGGATTTATTTTCTAATCCCTTTTTCCCCATTTGGGATTTAGAATAGGATATATTTTCTAACAGCCAAGCCACATCTTTGGAAATAATTCCAAATCCTGAGATTCTCCTTTGGCCGAAACCTCAAGATCCCACTACTGTTAATTCCTTTCCAAACCCAGCTTTCCTTTTTCTTTGGAATTAAGTCACGATTTTCTCTCTTGCCAGCCGAATTTTCAAAACCTAAGGCCTTTAATTCTTTCCAAAACAGAGAGTGAAATTAGGA